CGTGATATCCCCGAATAATTTCAGGTGAAAATTAACCTTTTAGGCACGACGTGCCACTATAGTTGCTTCCGCGGATGTCATCTCTCTGAAGGACGCGCCACTATAGTGGCTTTCGCGGATGTCATCTCTCTGAACGACGCACCACTATAGTGGCTTACTCTAGTAGCTCACTCGGTCATCGTTTGAATCAAATAATCGTCTTCATATGCATTGTTTCACACTTCTTTTGTCTTCACATCGATGTACAATATACAGACTTATCTTAACAATATAACTGTATCTTAACAATATGCAGACAGAATATACAGACACTCTGCACAGTACATATCAGACTCTGTCGTCCAGAAAAATAGCCTCGCGCAGAATTCAGCCGTACCTAAAAGGTTAAACAGATCGCGAACTTCCTACCCTAAAATCTCTACCTTGACATCGATATAAACCCCGTTGTCGAAGAAACCTCTAAAGCGTGGATCAAAGAAGCGGATGGATTATCCTAACAGACCTGCATCCGTGGAATCGTTAAACCCCATTCTCCAACTGCCGGCAACCTCGAATCGCTGGCACGTAGCCTCGCATAATTCCACGAGCGCGGGAAGATCCGCGTCGCGGCGCGAGGAAAAATAAAATCTGCGGCGCGCGAAGCGTTTAATTTGCCGGACGGTAGTCGGAGGATTCCTTGTCCGATCGTGCGGAGGATTCGAGGAACAAAGAGTGCCGAGCGATTCCAATTAGAAAGAAGACGGTAGCTGGGGCGGGCCGGGACGGTCCCGGGCTCCGTCTCGGGCTCGTCGGGATGATCCCGGCGAAAAATCCGTCGCCATCGGACCGCGAGGGATTCCGCTAATTCGATCGCAGCCGTTGATTCGTTGTTCCCGGTGCTGGGAGCTGTGGAAACACAGATTCCCCGAAAGCCGATAAGGTAGGAAAGCATCGGCGCGGTGCGTGAGCCCGGCATTCGGCATGCAGGGACCGAGAGAGAGAGAGAGAGAGAGAGAGAGAGGAGAGCGAGCGAGCCCGCTCGGTAACAGAACGGATGTATCGGATGTCCAGATCTCGCAACCTGCCGCTGCCGTGCCGGGATTTTTCGTAGCTCAACGACCTGCTGACCACTCTCATGTGATATCCGATAACGTCCACGGAGGTCCTTATTATACCCAGCAGGACACTGGCTCTCTCACGACTTTTACGGATTCCCCCGCGCGCCGGGAATATCCGCTTTCTGATCAAACGCTCCTCGTACTCCGCGCGCCGAGTCGCGCCGAACCGCGCCGGGGACGATGGAGAACCGTCGCGACGACCGTGCGAGAACGAAAAAGGCGGACCTCGTCAAATTATTCTAGTTACTCCGCGAAAATATCGGTAGCCGGACAGTGGAGGCTCGCCCTGTTATCTCTATCGCCTGTTGTTAACACCGCGCCACTTTGTGCGATAACTAGACAGTTCGGATAATAGAGAAGCGCTCGCTATCTATTCCCATGTCTAGCTTTTATTTGTTCTAATCAGAGAGCACGTTGGTAGTGATTCGTGCGATAGAGGGTGAGTTATGGTTTGTATAATAGAGGGTGAGTTAAGGGGCTTGTATAATAGAGGGTGAGTTATATGGTTTATATAATAGAAGGTGAGTTTATAGGACTTGTATAATAGAGGGTGAGTTAAGGGATTTGTATAATAGAGGGTGAGTTTATGGGGTTTATATAGTAGAGGGTGAGTTAAGAGTTTGTATAATAAGTGAGTTAAGGGTTTCTGTAGTAGAGGCTCAGATACAGGCTCGTATGATGGAGGATCGATCAGGGTTTCGTACAGTAAATACTCTGGTAAGTGTTCGTATAGCAAAGGCTCGTGTAAGGGTTCGCATTAATAGAGAGACTCAGCTAAGGGTTCACATAATAGAAACAAAACCGAGGGTTCATCTAACAGAGACTCAATTGAGGGCTCGTATAACAACGGTTCAGATAAGAATTCGTATAACAGAGGCTCAGATAAGTGTTCGTACAATAGAGACTCGGATAAGAGTTCGTATAACAGAGGCTCAGATAAGAGTTCGTACAATAGAGACTCGGATAAGAGTTCGTATAACAGAGTCTCGGATAAGAGTTCGTGTAACAGAGGCTCGGATAAGGATTCGTATAACAGAGGTTAATTCGGATGAACGAAATGTTGCTAAAATTCCTATAAGAGAAGCCAGGTAATCGATCTGTCTGCACCCACATAAACACAGATAATATGGGACACCACTAGATCTCGATAGAGAAATATCGAATTTTTAAGATAATTTTAGTTACTAGTTTCCCAATAGTAGTAAAGCATGGCTATAATTAAGAATCGATCGAAGATCAAAGTGAAACGTATCTAGCTTTTTCCAAGTTTTCCGAGAGTAGATCGAACAATCGAATACCGTACCGAAAGATGAATTAAGAACTGTTTCGTTTTGCTCCTTTTGCGATCAGTAACATCGTCTATTTAACGGACACGTTTTAAAAGAAAAGTAAAAATTGTCCAATTTCCGAGCAGTTGACACGATAATAACATTACTATCGGCTCGGAGAAACCTGGGAGCACTTGTAGCAGTGCACTTCCGTGCCGTTAAGTATCAAAATATCATCCAGACCGAGACCCGAGATAATCTGGAGATCGGGTTACTGATAATAGCGTTTCACTGATACGGCTGCAATAAAAGCGGCGATAACATACTTAAAATTGTGAGTCGCTGAATTTGCAATTTCGAACGAGCTTTTATCGAATCGTTATCGCGCACTGCAATAGTGTGAATTTACAGAGGTGCGCGGTTGTATTTACACGCGTCGTTTCTGTCGCTTGTTCAAGAAATCTGGATAATTGACCAATGAAAGTTCCGAGCGATACGTATTACGATCTTTGTGTTTTTCGTTTACGAAATTCTATCGCAAAAAGTATGCGTTTAGCAGCTTTAATAACGCGACATTAATTGCAAAAATACACGGAAAATTAATCGCGATCTAAACGAACAAAAAAAAAACGGTGACACGGTCCGTGCAACGGAGAAATTACACGTTTATTCATGGTATCAGTTCCGCGGCTTATTAATAGGATTAATTCGGGGTCGGTGAACTATCTTATTGCCTTCATTTACTCGCTTTGTACGCGTCGTACGACTGTCGGAGCTAACTAATGCACTGTATTATACCAAAGACTATACGTATTCATCTTAACGGCACTTTCATTCAATCCGTCGTTGGGGTATTAGATGGACGTGCAGAAATTACATGCTTTACATGACACAATATTAGTACCGTCCATAATAATTAATACCTCGTCGACGTACGTTTGTCCGAGTACCGTGGGACATACTTTTTCGTGATCTGCGACGGTATAATCGCGTTTATACGTTCGAATAAACTTCGTGAGAAGATCACGTTCTTCGTTGAACGCGTTCAATATTTTCTCCGAATTTTGCTTATTCTATTTGATAGAAAAACGTTGGAGTGCGTAAAAATCAATTTTAACGAGAGAGAATTGAGCCGTTTATTTTGAAAGTGGCATAAGTCACTTTTTCAAAAAACATCGAGTTAATGGTAACGCTAATTACAATCGAACGGTATCTTTTCATTTAAAAAAAAGAAAGAAAAAAAAAGAAGTGACTTATGCCACTTTCAAAATAAACGGCTCAATTATTTCTGTACACGTCTTATAAGAAATTCAATTTTGCAATTAATAAGAAGGAACAGAATTTTCACTTTAGAAAGAATCGTTCATGAAAGTTCTGTTACGTGCGCAAATAACGTGTACGCACAATCAGAATTTAATGTTCGACTAATGAAATTGCTTGCAACGGTTTCGAATCTGAAAAGAGAAAAAGTTCGCTGCGCGAGGACTCGAAGCAACAAATAAAGTATACGATACAGAGAACGAGAACATTCGGAAAATGGTGACAGCGCCGGGCGCGCGGCATTATATTGGGTTGGCAACTAAGTAATTGCCGATTTCATTTATAGATGTCTCTCATTCCCATTTTTATGATATCCGTAAATGTTATATTATAAAATTATTATTATTATTATTATTATTATGTTATTTTTTATTATCCGTGAATGTTAGCAACTGGACAAATTGAATGCAGCGGTCAAGGAAAAGCGAGCAGAATTGGTCGATCGTGAAGGTGGCATTTTCCAGCAGGACAATGCTAGGCCGCACACGTCTTTGTCCCCACTCGGCAAAAATTGATAGATATTGGTTGGGAATTAATGTTACACCCACCATACAGCCCTGAACTCGCGCCATCGGATTACCACTTATTTCGATCCCTGGACAACTCCCTTCGTGGTAAAACTTTTAATCATGATGACGCTGTAAAATCTCACTGAACTCAGTTTTTGGCCGAAAAGGATCAGACTTTCTACGAGCGTGGAATTTTCAAGTTGTCAGAGAGATGGCAAAAGGTCATCGAACAAAATGGAAAATACATTACCGATTAAACTTCGTTCCAAGTAAAAAAAAGAAATTTTTTATTTCATCGAACAAATCGGCAATTACTTAGTTGCCAACCCAATAGAAATAATATATATACTATAGGAATAATATAAAATAGGAAATTCGTTCTAATAGGAATGTTAATAGCAATAGATTTTTAATACAAATTCCGGTTACGATAAGCTAGATAGAAACTCGAATTGGAATGCATTCTACCAGAAGTTCAAATTTAATTCGAATCTTTAATCTTTGATATAAGTTTAAAGCGTCATAGATCTTCGATACAAATTCTAATATTATGGCTGGATATAAGTAGAGATAAGCTTAATCCGAAAAGAATCAGACTTTCTACGAGCGTGGAATTTTCAAGTTGTCAGAGAGATGGCAAAAGATCATCGAACAAAATGGAAAATACATTACCGATTAAACTTCGTTCCAAGTAAAAAAAGAAATTTTTTATTTCATCGAACAAATCGGCAATTACTTAGTTGCCAACCCAATAATCTTATCGAGCGCTAAGAAAACAGAGAATACGAATAGAAGCTTGAAATTACCTGACTTCCCGACTCTGGGGCCGCCGAGGACGACCACCCTGATTCTGTTGACGTTTGTCATCAGACGTGGATGTTAGGTGTCGTCCGAGCCTCGCTTGCACATTATATATTCTCCAATTGACACTGTTCCCGTTGCGGTTTTCACTCTACGCGGCGTTCATTTCGTTTTAAAGACGTTAATGTTGCATTTACATCGCGCACGCGCACACGAGAGAACAGAGAACGCGCGACGGTTTATGGGTAAAACGAACACTGGCGCGCCACAATACGAACACGTCGGGTCGGCACGGTTCTCTACGGAGGCGAATATTTACCCAGGCAGATAACAAACTCGACGGAACTTTCGTACCACCTTCCTCTTCCTATGCATACCGCGTCGCGCCGCGAGTCAACGGTTTTGTAACGACGATAAAAAGGTCGATTACGATCGATGACTGTGTTATTTGCTCCTCCGTCGAGCTTCTATTTGCTCGGACTGCGAGGCAACCAGTAGCACCGGTAACGTTGGTTGCTTGTTCCGCTTCCACTAATCACCTCGAACCGTAGGGACAGCAGCTTCGCGGCGTACGCGAATCCGCGATGCGCTCCCTCCACGCGCGCTCTTCGATGGCGCGACAAACTCTGTCGAGCGAGAGCCACCACCTTTTTCCCCAAAGGCGACAACGCGTCGATCCGTTTCGATACGTCGCTCGAACGCGATTCACTTCACGACGGTTGCGGGGCCCCGTCGCGAAACGCGCGCTCCGGGATCGATATCTCCGCGCGAGCAGTATCGTCACAGCGAACCGAAACGACTCCCAACCGTGCAGTCCGAAGCCGTTCGACACACGCGACGCGCATTAAATACTTCCCGGACACTTGCCGCGCTTCCGATTCCCGTCCGGCGGACGGATCCCGTGGCACTTCGATGACGCGCCCGAAAGTTTCTCGGCCGACGACGATGTCGCGCACAACTCGGCCCGTTCGTCGCGCCGCGTCGTTGAAAACGCCACTTTCTGGTCCCTCGATTTCTCGCTCGTCCGATTTCTCTTTTTTGTATCCCCTCGAAAACTTCACTTTCCACGTACGCCGGCTCGTGCTCCCGTCCACAGCAGCAACCTGCAACCTCTCCGAACTGAACACCACAGGCCGCAGCCGGTTAAATGTCGTCGTGCGGCGGCGTTCCGGTCGCGTCGCGGGAAAACATGCGGGCCCGCGCGCCGACACGCTGCGAATAATAACACAAGAAACGATTCAAGAAATGCTGTCTTGCTAGTTCCATTTATAACGGGTCGACGGCCTCCCTCTCCTCATCTTCTCTTCTCGCTTGGCGCCGCCGACGTCGGTCGCCCCGTTCGGATTACGAAAAGGGGAAAAAAGGAGGCTAGACGCGCGCTGGTGTGTACGCGAGAAGACGGACGCGCGCGCGCACTCTCTCGCCGACCGCGACTCTCGCCAGCCGAAGTACCACTCGCTCCCTCGGACGGGCAGACGAATACTGGAAGGCGAACGGCGCAGGAGAACTAGACTCCGAGAGAGCACCGCCCACGTGCTCTCTTGCAATTCCTGCGTCGCGTCGCGTCGCGTCGCGCCGCGCCAATTTTTTCTTCCCCGTCGGGGGGAGTTCTTTTCGATCCGCGGTTTTTCCCGTCGAACGTTATGGACGACAAATCACTGGTTCGCGCGCGAACGCCGTTGATTAAGACACCCGGCTCGCTTGAAATGTCACTTTTTTTCACCGGGAACCGTTCGAACTACTCGCGCTCGCTCGCGCGCGCACTCTCGTACTTAATCACGTACCGAAACGACAAGTAACGTTTCTATTCGCGTTTAACGTTATCCCGAGCTAAATCGGCGAAGCGATAATATATTGTTCGCGCGAGACATTCCCGTAATAATATCGGGTGGTCCATGATTCATTCCTTTCGATTCAAACCGCGAGATTAGATAAGGTTAATTGACTTTGCCGCTCGATCACACGGATCGTATTGGAAACCGCGCGACTCGTGTCCTCTGCGACAGATGTTTTTCGTTATCGCCGCGGTATTGAAATGTTTTCCGTGCGTAGTCACGGATCGGTCGGGGTGTTTACGTGTGTCAGCAGCGGTAACGCGCGCGGCCGACGCGTGCAATTAAACGTTTTCTTCGCGAACAATGCGGCAGACGGTTCTCTATATTCCGTTTATACACACGTTGAACACTTTGTCACGGTTTATCGTATCGTATCGCGCGACAACTGCGAACGTTGCAGGCGGCCGCGAAGACGCGCCAGGCGAGAAGAGCCCCGAGAGGAGAAGAGAATAATCGATCGTGGATACGTTATCGAGATCGACTCGAGATTCGTGCGACGGAGGGGCCGGGCCCGTGCTTGGTTTCGGTATCGATACGGCCTCCAGAAGGTCGACCGTCGACGCGCAAACATCTCGAGCGGCATAGGACATGGCCCCCCTTGTTTGCACGAGTCGAGCCGGCCGCAATAATAGCATGTGATCCGACTCGAGGTAGCGCGAGCGTACGAAAGCACGCATAAATAAATACCTGATATCTACTAGCGATAAGAAATTCACTCGACGAAGAATTCCACAGCGGTACAACTCCCACGTTATTGTTTTTCGCTCTATAGCGAAACAACGCGAGGCGAGGACGAAATACTGGAATAACACGGAATACGAGAATATACGAAGGAGAATTATGATACACGGAGAAATCTTGTTGTATACGCGATTGGAAAAACGAGCCGGACCCGAGCCACGCGATACGCGGAAACAACTGTTTGGCACCGATCTCACCGAGCGCTCGCCGGCGAATGCTCGAGCTTGAGCGGCTCGCGCCGTCTAATATGCACTCGCACTCTCCAGTCTGCTGCCCACTGCAGGCTCCGACCACGGCATGGCGTACCGCTCCACGCTCCACGCTACAAGGTGACTGGCGTGTTAACAGGTAAGCGGAGACCGATGCGCGAGCGCCTAGTATGCAAGCGCGTGTCCGCGGCTACAGGTAACTACGGGAACACTTTTCTCTTTATGGGCACAATAACTTCTGGCCCGTCCGAGGTACCGTGCCTCGAATTATCGCGTTATCGTTATCGGATCGGACAAGCTTTTCACCGATGATAATTTCAGATAACAATCGAGTCGAACTCGTCGTCGAGTCGAACCCTCCGCCCCCCTTCGGAGACGATCTACGGTCTACGTAGGGGCTGCCCTGCCAAATGATACGCTGCACCGCGGATATGGCCCTGTTCGACGCATCCGTGCGTCTTTTTTACGGAAACGTTTCGCGCGTTCCTCGTTGTTCCGTAACTTTCGTATCTGAGAACGGACGACGCGCAAGGACACCCGGATTATTGTGCCCGTCCGTTCGAGCATTCGTACATTCGGTCTCGAACTAACCGAAGATTAGGTGCATCGTTCCGGACGGCGCGACGCGAATAATCGAACGTGTGCCGTATGCACACGCCACTGTGCATTGTGTCTGGCCAAAGTTTCGTTGGAAACGCATCATGAGGAAACCTCCCTGCATTACCAGTCGAGTCGGTGTGTCCTCGCGGATAAAACCGTGGAAGATTGATAATTCCGCGCGGTGGCCATGGCAACGGTGTTAACCGTGTTCTAACAGAAGGGTATTGTATTCCTTTTACCACCGACGCGATATTTTGTTTGGCAACATGGACGAGGAGAACGATACGGAGCTCGTCCGCGCCTCGAGACCGGAGAAAAAGTCTCTGCTCGAAAGGTACGGTATACCGGTCGAGCATCTCTCGTACGAGCACGTCTCCGGATGCGCAAATGGGAAAACGTTGGAGCGCATTGTAACGATACTGCGGTAAGTCGAGATCGAAATTCCGCGCGGTTTTCGATTCTACGAAAACGAAATCTTGCAATCTATTTTCTCACCGGCACCTCGCAATCGTCGCACCTTTTTCCAATCGCTCCGATTCGAAACGTTCGAACGCTCGCGTCGCGTTCGCACGATTCTCTTTATAAGCGAAGTATCATGCATGCATATAGTAGCGACCGCGTTAAACGAGTGCGCCGAGAGTAAGTGCAGGTGCGGTGTTTTATAAATAGGTCCGGCGAAGAAGGGTATTACCCTGATTTAACGAGACACGCGGAAGAACGTCTGGCCGTTGTTAAGCCGGCGAGCATAATTCTAAGAAAATCTGAACCCGTTCTAACGCGAAACATGTTAGACCCGACCGAATGCAATGAACTTGATACAGACATTAATCACTGGACGTCCGAAATGCAATCACGGGAGAAAGATCTCGAGGAGGGGAAAAATACTTTAACGGTGGAACCTGTCCCTCAACCCGATATTAGGCAATTTAAGGATGAACCCGTAAAAGTATCGCTCATGTTACCGTATATCTTTCGTTAATTATTATTACATGCTGGCTTCTATATAACTACCCGCACTCTGCCGCATCACTTTTTGTTTCGTTACGAACGTAGCATAAACTTAGAGATCTAATTTAATTTAATCAGAGAAACACGGTAACGCGCTCGAAAGCTTCTAATAGAGCAAAACGCATTTCCTCGTGCGATTACGCGGCATGGGATAAATACGATGTGGACACTGAATTAAATAAGATCGATATACGGGACGAGCAACGGCAGATTGAAACTAAAAGGCTGCAGCAGAAGCAAAAGGAGAATTTGGAGAAACGGAGACTCAATAAGGAAACGATTATAAACAAATGTGAGTTGCGAAACCGGCTATTTTTTTTGTTTTTTTTTTTTAACAAACTTTATAACATCGAGTAAGGTTTCATAGATTAGACGGTATAAGAAAATATGGGTGCATGATTTTATTAGCGTCGTTAACCGGGACCGAATTGAGCGTCATGGCGGAGCAAGAAAGAGGAAAGGGAAACGAGGCTTTCAAGGCTGGAGATTACGAGGAGGCTCTCGAACATTATAATACTGGCATAAAAATAGATCCGACTCCGACCACTTACAATAATCGTGCGATAACATGTAAAACGCTTATCCGACCATTAGAATTAGTAACGGTGTCCGTCCTATCGGTAACAAACTCATTTATTCTCGTCTTTTCAGTTATCAAACTCGGACGCTACGAACACGCCCTTAACGATTGCAACTTTGTGCTGGACACGGATCGCAGAAACATAAAAGCCTTGCTACGGCGAGCCGTAACTTTAGAGCATCTTGAAAAGTCATCCGAGGTATCGAATTACCATGCGGTTTGTTCACGTACGCAAATATCGTAACAGTTACCGTTAAAACTTAATTGATATACAGGCATTGGCCGACTACGAAGCTGTTCTGAAATTGGAGCCGACCAATCCCGCCGCTATAGCCGGGGTGAAAAAGTTAAGGAAACCTTGCGAATCCAGGAAAGTTAGGTACGAAGTTGTATCAAAATGTATTTCGATACGTTATGTACAAAATGCGAATTAATCCTGATTCGGTACTCGTAGAATGGCCATCGTCGAACAAAGCGAAGCCGAACGCGAGGAACCGCGTCGAGTCGACAAAACCGAAACAAATAACAATTACAGCGAACAATTCGAATCGAAATTAAATATTGGAAGCAACATATGTTTCTGCGATCGGGCTCCAGGGCCTTCGCAGAATCTGAGGCCCAGGCCGCACTTCAGAGCCGATTACTGCCTTCAAAACGACAAGCCGAAAGCGATAGCGAGAAATAGCTCCACGAAGACATCCGAGTCGCAGAAAAATTCAGCAGCCAACGTATCTAATTCTACGCAGGAAAATAAGAGTCCGCATTTATTTCGGAATCCGAAGTCAATTTTCTCATGTCCGACGCCTTCTAAACAAAATAGTTCGGTCATTATCGAAGAGTTGCCCAACGAGCCCTACAACAATAATATTTCGAAGAACAAAATTATATCGAACGGAACAACCTCGAATAATAATAATAATAATTGCAATGCAAAACCAACAAATAACAGTAAAACGTCCGAAGCTAAGAAGTCGGCCGTTAAAAAGTCTAATAAAAATTACGAACCGAACATTATCGCCCCGAAAACTATTCAAGTGGCGAATAAATGTGAAAGTAAAACTAGTAATCCGGAAAAACATGTTCCACAGGTACGTTGCCAGCGATTAAAATGACCAAATATGATACGTAAACATTAATAATGATTGCAGACCTTCGATAATGTCGAAAATGCGTACGAATTCATGCGTATATGGCGGTCATTGAAGAACGATGATTTAGAGGTGCGCGCACGGTTGTTGCGATCATTGAACGTCGATAAGTTAGTTTTAGGTTGGTACTGGCAACGAGCTAAGTTGGTACTGTATATGTAAATCAAATCCTGAAACCTCTTCGCTAACAAATTACATTAGTTCTAGGTAATGAACTCGACGGAAATATGTTCAGTACCATTTTGCGTTGCATGGAGCAGCATTTTTGCAAGCCTAACGACACGGAACTGGTGAATAAATTTTTAAAAACGTTCAGTCGAATGAAACGTTTCTCGATCGTCAATATGTTCATGAACTCCGGCGACAGGCAAGGTAATGCTTGCATTGAGACTACGGTAACGGCAGAATTGATAAAAAAAAAAAGAAAACGATTCTGTTTCTCTTATACTTACGATAATTGCATTCGTTCCACAGCCGTGTGCAACATGTTGAACTTTTTAGAAGAACATGGGACATCGGGTGTCTCCTCGCTGCGGAAAATTTATTGCGTCTAACGATACCACACGTTTTCGAATTTAGTAGGAGCACTTAATCGACCGAGTACCAATATCGTATAAGATAGAATCGATAGCGAGGCTGCGTTTCTTTTACATTTTCATCTGTAACAGTACATGTATACATCAATAAAATAATTACTCCGACCGAACGATGGCGCTATTTCAAAGAATAATACCATTATTTCATACCCGACCAAAGCATACGGGAGCAAGTCACCGATTACCGCCAACCTTTCCCGAGCTGCTAATTTTAGCTTCTGCTCCAGGACAGAAATCCTTTTGGGAATTAAAACCCATTAAAACCGAAAATATCACGACGAACAGTGGTACCGATATCCACGGCAGGAGCTTCTCGCGCGCCCTTTTGTCGATGCGGGCGAAGTTAGCAAGTTTCTCCGTAATCTTAGCGCTCGTAGCGCGACCGCGGCGAATTACGAAAGCGAGCGAAACTTAACGACTTTCAATTTACATTTGTAGAATGCATTTCTTATTTTTCTCCTCAGAAGTGACCGAACTATGTACAGTCTCTACTACTCCACTTGTCAAACAATGAAAACCGTCGGGGTTTTGTTCAGCTTGCGTTTAGTGTTCAAGGTTCTGTATCGTTCGAAATAATGACTAAAAAGTAAGTAAGTCTGTTTACCGCACAGTATTTAATTGTTCCGGATAGTAGAAATGGATAATATATGGATTTGTAGAAAAAAGAGGATTGTACTTACCCAAAATACTATGGCTCGAATCACGTGTGGGCATCTGTTGCACTCGTTGCGAGCCGTCAGCGTCGTGCAACGCGGAATCGTTGTGGGGAGTGGAAACCGGAACGCCGTTTGTGACAACCGTTGATATCGAAGACATCTTTGGATACCGATGGCGTAGTCCTCGAAATACGATTTAAAATATGATTTCGAAAGAAATCATTGGTTGATTTTTCCTTCGGTTCCCTTGGCGTTGACGACCGACCATGATTCCGGCGCAGCACGCGACGGTGGCAGCACATGTAGCTATCCAAGCGAGTGCGCGCTCTGGCTTTCTTCCGACATCCGGACTCCGTGACTTTAGCTCTTCGTCAGTTGCGTACTCTTCCGTTCAAGCAGCTTGTGACATTTTTTTCTGTTACTACAAGATGTTTACTTGGATGAGCCGTGCGAATTTCAACGAGGATCCTGATAATAACTGCCTTAGACGTTGGGATGTCGGAAGGACGGACGAAGTCTGTACATATACAAATTGAGCCGAATCAGTTACTTGCGGGAAAGGAGGATCCATCTGCTGGCGGGTCTGGAGGTAGNGCCGTGCGAATTTCAACGAGGATCCTGATAATAACTGCCTTAGACGTTGGGATGTCGGAAGGACGGACGAAGTCTGTACATATACAAATTGAGCCGAATCAGTTACTTGCGGGAAAGGAGGATCCATCTGCTGGCGGGTCTGGAGGTAGCCGCCACAATAGCAATGGCGTACTGTCGCCGTAAAGGCCGTGCCAACAAAATTCTCCCCTGCCTTATTTAGCGTAAGTCAATTGTGCACGCGGTAATCCGCCGGATAAACGGTGCTTCGTATGTGGTGCTACGGCTCATGGTGACAAGAACTATTTGTGTTTCTCGGTGATGAAAAGTGGCGTTTTTCGGTGATTATAGTGCCTCGGTTTTCCCCACTGTGGAGTGACCGCCGATTGCTGAGCGGCACGCCATCCTGCTGTAGCTGACTGAGCTCTATACTGTAAAGAGATTAAATGCTATGTGAGTTCGGACCAAGACACGAGTTAATGTTTTTATTCGGCGGCGATACGCTGATTTTAAGCGAAACAGATCTTTTTCCCTGAAAAATATTATTGCTATAGGGATATATAGTACCGCTGTAGAAATCAGCATTGACACGTAAGAAATGATTGATGTGTTTTGTACAGCGTTTGTACGCGGTTTATTTGTCGTGAAATTAATAAAATAATAGATCCTCCTTTTGCAAATATTTTAAATCGATTTTTCTTCAACCACAAGTGGACGATGGTTTACGTAATAATTACAATTTTTCCAAAACTCTGATCGATATTTATCGATATAAAAAATCGTATCATTTTGTTAACGAAGATCTACGTGTTCCGTTGATATCCGTAAAAATATATGAAAGTACAGGTTTCATTAATTTGTAGCAGAAGAGTTTAGGCTAGTATCACTTTGTATTAATCAAATAGATATACCTGTAATGTTTAGCGAGGTATATTTAATTTTAAAACACAAGAAACTATTTTATTGCAAATTCTTACAGTTTCCAATTATTTCGTGATTTTCAGTGTCTAGAGAGTCGTTTGAACAGGAATATTTAAGCTTCGATTTTAAAAAGCAGTGGAGAATGGGGTACAAAAGTTGAGGATGTCGTCAAGGTCGAAAGCAAACTATATTTTATGTTTTTATATAACATATGTTTATGAGCTCTTATTATGTTATTAAATTTTCTGTTACATAAATAATGTAATCTACGATAAATCGTTAATTTTATGTTATTTATGTTAAAAAAGTATGATGATTTTTACTTATCTTCTATGAGACTATAATATANAAAATATGATTTCGAAAGAAATCATTGGTTGATTTTTCCTTCGGTTCCCTTGGCGTTGACGACCGACCATGATTCCGGCGCAGCACGCGACGGTGGCAGCACATGTAGCTATCCAAGCGAGTGCGCGCTCTGGCTTTCTTCCGACATCCGGACTCCGTGACTTTAGCTCTTCGTCAGTTGCGTACTCTTCCGTTCAAGCAGCTTGTGACATTTTTTTCTGTTACTACAAGATGTTTACTTGGATGAGCCGTGCGAATTTCAACGAGGATCCTGATAATAACTGCCTTAGACGTTGGGATGTCGGAAGGACGGACGAAGTCTGTACATATACAAATTGAGCCGAATCAGTTACTTGCGGGAAAGGAGGATCCATCTGCTGGCGGGTCTGGAGGTAGCCGCCACAATAGCAATGGCGTACTGTCGCCGTAAAGGCCGTGCCAACAAAATTCTCCCCTGCCTTATTTAGCGTAAGTCAATTGTGCACGCGGTAATCCGCCGGATAAACGGTGCTTCGTATGTGGTGCTACGGCTCATGGTGACAAGAACTATTTGTGTTTCTCGGTGATGAAAAGTGGCGTTTTTCGGTGATTATAGTGCCTCGGTTTTCCCCACTGTGGAGTGACCGCCGATTGCTGAGCGGCACGCCATCCTGCTGTAGCTGACTGAGCTCTATACTGTAAAGAGATTAAATGCTATGTGAGTTCGGACCAAGACACGAGTTAATGTTTTTATTCGGCGGCGATACGCTGATTTTAAGCGAAACAGATCTTTTTCCCTGAAAAATATTATTGCTATAGGGATATATAGTACCGCTGTAGAAATCAGCATTGACACGTAAGAAATGATTGATGTGTTTTGTACAGCGTTTGTACGCGGTTTATTTGTCGTGAAATTAATAAAATAATAGATCCTCCTTTTGCAAATATTTTAAATCGATTTTTCTTCAACCACAAGTGGACGATGGTTTACGTAATAATTACAATTTTTCCAAAACTCTGATCGATATTTATCGATATAAAAAATCGTATCATTTTGTTAACGAAGATCTACGTGTTCCGTTGATATCCGTAAAAATATATGAAAGTACAGGTTTCATTAATTTGTAGCAGAAGAGTTTAGGCTAGTATCACTTTGTATTAATCAAATAGATATACCTGTAATGTTTAGCGAGGTATATTTAATTTTAAAACACAAGAAACTATTTTATTGCAAATTCTTACAGTTTCCAATTATTTCGTGATTTTCAGTGTCTAGAGAGTCGTTTGAACAGGAATATTTAAGCTTCGATTTTAAAAAGCAGTGGAGAATGGGGTACAAAAGTTGAGGATGTCGTCAAGGTCGAAAGCAAACTATATTTTATGTTTTTATATAACATATGTTTATGAGCTCTTATTATGTTATTAAATTTTCTGTTACATAAATAATGTAATCTACGATAAATCGTTAATTTTATGTTATTTATGTTAAAAAAGTATGATGATTTTTACTTATCTTCTATGAGACTATAATATAGCGTAGAAATCTAAAAGAATACTATGATATTCGAACATAGGATTAAACAAAATGATAAATAATATTCTAAGCTTGATATATAACTCACATTAATAAAAATTAATGTCATTTTGATACAATTGAAAAATATATATGTAGAATATTTATCAAACTACGAGTGTATAGAATTCGTTATAATAATATCCTTTTATATTTATAGGAACACATAGCAACACAGGTCTAGTAGAGGTGCCATGGATGATGAAGAGCGTCTTGAGGGTGAGGAAGAAATGGAACTAGATGAAGCTTCCGATGGTGAAGATGAAGATGAGGAAACAACAGGGATACCTGTTTCTCCAGCAAATTCCGATCAATTGCTAGGCTCTGCACCACCAATTCCTGGTAATAGTGAGTATACGTGTTCCTTTAGCTGTTATAATTAATTTATAGCATATGTCGTGTCGTATAACAATTGTTAACATTCTTTGCACAAACACTAATTATTTAAAAATATATATGTTATTTCAGAGGAAGCACAAAAGTTTGTTTCTCTTGCAGTAACCCCGGATGAAGCTTTTCATGATCCTCTACGGTACCAGAAATTTCCACTTCCTGGAGGTAAACCTTTAAATATTAGAAGGGGTCCAGGTAGACCCAGAAAAGAACGTCCACCTGGAATTACACGTGGAGGTGGTACTCGTAGACCTTTCGGAAGAGGAACTACAAGGGGCAAAGGGTATGTGTTACATATGCATTATAAAGAAACAAAAGCATAATGCATTTGTAAATGATTTATGCACATTACATGAATATGTTTTTATTTAGTCTCGGATATGCGAGAGGCATACCGCGTCGTACTAAAAGTAAAGATGATGATACGCATTCTGAATCCCCGAGCCCTCTTCGTCTTGGTGAAGATGCTAACCCTGATGGAGAGTCATCTAATACCGAGAGATGTATGCCAGCACCAGAAGAGCCTCCATATTTTCCAGAACAATGGCAAGGAACCTTACTCTTTTGATTTTATTTTCTCTATGTCGATAATGCGCAATGATAAACAGGAATTATGTATATAATATATCTATATTTGTGCACATATATATCACTAGGCCCGGGAAAGTCTGTGCTCTGTGTAATTTGGGTGAAAGAAGTCAACTAGGTCAAGGTGAATTGTTAAGATTTACCTGTCCCGAAGGTTTTACTCCCGAGAAGTCCACCAATCGTGACGAAACAACCGATCATCTTGTTGATATATCTACTGGAGACAAAAGTCCACGTGCAGCAGGTCCCGGTGCTGTGACTTGCCGCAGACAGAAGAGTTTAGCTAAGTGCAGGTATTTGTATTTCATGAAATTTTTATATGTATGATATCTTATTAACATCCGTCAAATAAAATGATGCTTTGCAGGAATACTAGTCTAACAAATTTTACGGAACCAGTGGAGGAATTAACTATAGTTGGGTATTTAGAAGAGCCGGAAATAGGAACATTATTTGAATCAAATGGACACTATTATGTTCATCAGTCGTGTGCAGTATGGTCAAGCAATACCCAAGACTTAACAACAGAAATTTTAAGTCCAGCAATAGTACAGGCTTCATCGAGGCGTTGTGCTTATTGTTCTCATTATGGAGCTGGAATTCCTTGCAAGGTAATTTAGTTTCTGTACTTTTCTCATTTTTTTCTTGAAATAGAGAAAGAGAAAGGCTTTTAGTTATACGAAATAATATGTTGTAATATTGTTCTTTACCAGGTGGCATCGTGCAATCGTTATTTTCATTTACCATGCGCTGCAGCTTCGAGTTGTTTCCAGGATACAAAAAGTTTGTCCCTCTTTTGCAGTCAACATCTGGGACAAGTTCCGCTTTTGTGTAAGTTCCATATAAATCGTATGTTTATAACCCTTAGAATGAAATAAATTAATAGGTATACTAACAAGATCAGTTTCGTTTTAGTGAACGGTGATGTTACTTGTATGCAGTGCTGTGGAATGGGGGATGTTTCCAACTTAGTAATGTGTTCTATCTGCGGCCAACATTACCATGGCAGTTGTGTCGGTTTGGCACTGCTGCCTGGTGTACGGGCTGGTTGGCAATGTGTATCTTGCAGAGTATGTCAAGTGTGTCGTCAACCAGAAGATGTTTCAAAAGTAATGTTGTGTGAACGATGTGAAAAAGCGTATCATCCTAGTTGTTTACGACCAATTGTTACATCTATACCTAAATATGGTTGGAAGTGTAAGTGTTGCCGTGTATGTACAGACTGTGGTTCGCGTACACCGGGCGCTGGTTTATCATCACGGTGGCATTCTCATTACACCGTATGTGATTCGTGTTACCAACAAAGGAACAAAGGTTTTTCGTGTCCTCTTTGTAGAAAGGCATATCGGGCTGCCGCGTATAGAGAAATGGTTCAATGTAGTGCATGTAAAAAGTTTGTTCATGGTACCTGTGACCCTGAGGCTGATCCATTAACTTACCAGCATCGTAAAGATTCTAAACCTGACTATGAATATGTTTGTCTACACTGCAAAAACATGGCACTTGTAAAAAGGAAGGATAATATTGATGATTACGGTGGAGACTTAAGTTTAAGTGCGTCGCAAGAGAGTCTATATGGTGATGGAGATTCGTCTGAATTTGATTATCAAGGTGGATCAGAAGAAGCTTTGTATTCTATAGGCCTTGGAAAAGGAAAACCGTTCTGTGCATCCAAGATTGCAAAGAAAAGATTAGGGCTTGGAAGTGGATTAATTGGTCGGCCGAAAGGAATTGGTAAGCTTGGATACCAAAAACGACAGAAAATGACAGAGTTTGGAAGGAAAAGAGGTCCCAAAGCAAAGATGAGAGGTATCTTTGGAGTACCTGGTGTAGGATTACAGGTATAACATACAGTTAAATTTATATTATTTTTAATCGTATTTTCTTATTTTAGAAGTATACGAATAATGAAAAATCTTCTGAAACTAATATTTGTTATTTCAGAGACCAATGTCGGACTCATTTTCGAAGGAAGATGAACCAGGCATTGAAAATAGACTTGTATTATGTTCAGCAAAAGATAAGTTCGTATTGACCCAAGATATTTGTGTCATGTGTGGTGCAATTGGCACTGATCAGGAGGGGTGCTTAATTGCTTGTGCACAATGTGGTCAATGTTATCACCCTTATTGCGCTAACGTAAAAGTTACTAAGGTAATATTGCAAAAGGGTTGGCGGTGCCTTGATTGTACAGTATGCGAAGGTTGCGGTGAAAGAAATGACGAGGGTCGTTTGATTTTATGCGACGATTGTGATATCAGTTATCATATTTACTGCATGGATCCGCCATTGGATTATGTGCCGCACGGCACTTGGAAGTGCAAATGGTGCGCGCATTGTCAAACATGTGGTTCGAACGATCCAGGATTCAATAGCAGTTGGCAGAAGAATTATACGCAGTGTGGCCCTTGTGCATCTCATACTGTCTGCATATCTTGTCAAGAGGCGTACAACGATGGGGATCTAATTATACAATGCATCCAATGTGAAAGATGGCTGCATTGTGCATGCGACTCTATCAAGAGCGAGACGGAGGCATATAAATGCGCGGAAGAGGGTTATATATGTATACTTTGTCGTCCAAGAGATGTTCCACCGCCACATCTTTTATGCAATCAACCAAAACCACAACCAAACAAATATCCCCGTTCTCCACCGCCCGCATCACGCAGTCCGGAATTATATAAACCATCACCTCAACAGTACTTGGTCGACGGAGTTTACCTATCCGAAGCTGGAATGAATCACATTAAATCACTAACATCCGAACATCAACAGACACGGAAGAAAAGAAGAAAAATGCATCCCTTGATAGACAAAGAAGCCGACATAATGGCTACAATAGAGTCTGTGGTTGCCGGTGGCAGTTTAGATAATTCCTTAGAAGAAAATGGAGCAAAATTAGATCTAACCGATGTGAAGGATGAACCTACGGAAGTACTGAAAGAAGGCATGGTATGGACACCACGCGGCGACCAACCACCACCCGAAGGCTTTAGTATTTACACAACTGAGAATGGTATACCAATTTTGCGACGTAAACGCCAACGTAACTTGCAGAAGTTAGGTATTGGAGGTTTTATCGTCAGATTAAGAGGCACTCGCAAGGACAAAGAGGAAGATGGTGACCCCGAAAAGCAATCGGACTCTACAGTTGGCGTGAGCGACGACAAGCCGAGGAGGAAACCGCAGAGAAGAAAACCAAAGACAAAACTATCTGAATGTTTTCCTCTCTACATGCAAGAAGCATTTTTCGGCAAAGATCTTATGGACACGACCAAAGACAAGGAACTGGAGAGCAGCAGTGAGTCGGATAGCGAAAAGAATGTGTCTGGGAACGCGGACACCATTCAGCTATCGCAAGATGAACTGAAAGCGATGGAGCAAGTTAAAGCCAAGCAAGAGAAGGAGGAAGAGAAGGTACCTACGGAACCTCCCATCAAACGAGAAGAAATTATGGAAGACGATGGCAGTGATACGGAAGCTCTTGGTGACATTTTACCTATTTCAAGCGATTTGCTCGATAGCGATCTTGTCAATACTATCATGAACGAACCCGACGAAGACTTAGCCAAAGCTGGCGAAGCGTTGGATGAGTTGGATGACACACCGGGCACGACTAAAGATGAACTGACAGATATTCTAAGTCCACATTTCAATTTAGAATCAATGGTCAGAGATACAGGATTACCTAACATGGATAGCAAAGATATCGAAGAGATATTTAAAGGGGTTTTAACTGATGAGTCCCAAGAATCTCAAGAATCGTCGGTATTTTCCGTTCAAGCTCAACCTCCTCATCCTGCATCTGCCACAACACCTCTTGTGTCCCCCTCACCTCATCCTGGTAAGTGTGTATTTAATGTTACGATTATTACACATCAGTAATCATTTTGTATATAAAACATGTATTCAACTACGTTGATTCGTATAATTACAGGTATACAAACGACAATACCTATAGCAAGACCACAAGTACCTGGTACACTACCCTCTGTTGGTCAATCTAATTTAAATTCTCCGATGAGCTTTCCACCGCCGTCTCCATATCATTCAGAGTATAGCAAGTAGGTTTATATTTATACACTTCGATGGATTGAAAGAAAACAACTTCCTTAATTAACATGTTTAACTTTCCATTATATAGTAGCCCACAATTCAGTCCTGCTTTCTCTGAACCACCAAGTCCATGGGTTAATCCCGACGACGAAGGTTCGACACCAGCAGGCAATACTACAATATCATACAACCAAAGAAGTAATCTTAAAATGGAAGCCGATGAAGCTCTAGGTGGAGGAGCTACTATATCTTCTGTACTCTACGCGAACATTAATCATCCAGAATGGAAAACAGATTACCCAGGTGTGTACGAGAAATTAATTAATATATTTCAATTAATTTTGCAGTACGTATCCTTAATTTGGTTAATTATTACTTAACCATATACTTAACCGTATCATTTAAGCTTGGTCAGAGAGATGCAAGCAAATATTGAAGAAGTGGCGTGCACTACCCAATGACAAGAAAGCTCCGTATTTAACTCTTGCACGGGACAATAGAGCAGCAATTCGTATGAAAAAGACTCAACAGGTAGGACTAGTTTCTAGTGGTCTAATTAGAGATACAGGTGTTAGAGGAAGCGTGAATCTTTTATGTGACATGTATCCATTTTCATCTTCAATGATGTCTTGTGCTAACACACAGGTCAAACTAACAGCTTGTCCTTTGTGTCCAATACCCATGAAGCTGTTAAGGTTTTAATTATCTTGTACCGTTTATAAAATCGGGCAGAGTAAGGCAGGAAATACGGTATAGAGCACAATTTTTTAAAAAAAGTCGATAGAAAGTCGTGTTAACTTCCACTCATAGTTCAGTAATTTGTTGTTTCATATTGAACGTACTTGATCATCATTATGAATGTAATTCCATTATCTAATTGTAGACGTACATATATAGATACATATTCTCTATTTACATGAAAGTATAAGTCATATTTTTCTAACTGTATTCACATCGTCGGATCATGGATTCATTAGAAGCGTAGATGCTAATTTGGTACTATACATAGGAATATCGATCTAAATCTAGTTGCTCCCGATAGCGTCCCTCTAAGTTCCTTAGAATCCTTTGGTGAATAATTACCTTTGTATGATGTATACTGGAAATATGTAAGCCTTGAAATCTATAACGTAAGTGTGTGAACGAGGCACCCCTTGAACCGACAGATATCCAAGGATATACCAAGCACGACCCCAGTCACTGCAACAAGTGCACCTACCATCATCACCAAACCCGTCACAACTATGACATCAGCTCAAGTTTCTCCAGTAGTAGCTATGGCCTCCAACCAAAGGCAGATCGGACTTCTGACCTCAGTGGCCAGTGAAAAATCACAGGATAAGAACGGAATGACTGTGTCTGCGACTGGAGTGACAGTATCAACAGCTAGCAGTAATCATCATGCGGAGGTGTGTGCGGTGCAGGGACCGCAGAAGCAGCTAACATCTTCTTCCCCGAGTCCTTCTCCAACATCCACGACCCCTTCTTCTTCACCCAGACCCAGTTCTGTGAACTCTATTAATTCCATTAACAGCCTGGCCCACCAAGAGATTACCGGTAGCCAGGCTAAAGTAGCTCAGTCGCCAGCCACGCCTTGCACATCAGCAACTGCTTCTTCTTACTGCAACACGGGCGCCGGTGAAGGGCAGCATCAAACGTCACCATCCCAGCAACGTCCCACACCTGCTCACATTACGATCAGTACCAGTACAATTGCTAACAGTCTGACCATCTCTCAGGCATCCCCCACTGCCAACGTTATGGTGGGGGTAGGTCCTGTTCGCCAATTATCCTCGGTAGACCACCAGATTAGAGTGCTCACCCCATCTGAAATCATGCGCACCCTCCCTTCCCTCAGCCAGGAGCACTACGATCCGCCACCCACTGCAATTATTCACACTGTACCTGTACAGTCCCCGGCTATGGTGAGCCACCTATTCTGTGCCTCTAGAGTCTTGCCTTGTGCCACGTGTCTGATCGACATTTTTTTAGTGTCCTTCATCTTTCTTTTTTTTTTGGTACCTAGAATACAAAACATTAGAATTATCATAAATCAGTGTCTTGCAAAATTTCGGTCATAGACTAGTTATATTTACCAAAGATCTGAAATACTTGGTGTTAAAAGTAATTTTTCATAGTTTCGTAAAGAACCAAAATCAGTATTGTATTATTAAACAGTGTTTCAGAACATTGGTTCTTTTTATAATAGGTGACTGATTTAATGTTGCACATGTATTATATTGAAATGTATGATATTTGATTGATCAGACACTTTTGACATATCGATATACACATTTATTTTGATTAGGTAGCATATATTTTGTTACACTGTAGCATTATGAATTATTTATTTGTGTACTTTCTTACACTGTATGTGGCATGTTAAAGACAACTGGTAGCACACACACACACACACTTTTTTCGTTCTTCCTTATCCGTAATTCAAGATTTCCTCCTTTTCCCATATACTTGAATAAGTATATTGCTTTTCTGTTAATTGTGTTGAGTTCCTTTGTAGATTTTTGTTATAACATAGCACTTCCAGATGCTTTTACGTCTTCTTATACTATGAACTGTTACTCATTGTATTTATAGCGTTGTAGAAAAATGTACTGCTGTTGATTAATGTCTGACAATGTTCTCGACATTTTTAGTTGCTAACATAAATAACTACTATTATTTCTTAAATTGAATAAAAAATTGCATACACGTGTTTATGCATTTTACAGTGTAATACGCTAAACATTTTATTTATTTTACTTGACTCACATATAACAGGAAGAGTACTTGTTCGTGTAATAAAAAGAATACAAGTGATATACGTTCCTATATTCAGTGATACAGTGCATGAAGACTATTCTAAATTAATTTAAGATGGATGTCTATGGGTGTTCTGTGTGGTAAAGCAGGTTTTTCACATGGACCTTTGATTACATAATATTTACTTTAGATGGTGGCTGGATATTATTATAAATGTGTTGCACATACCAAAACAATGAGATTTCGCTAATTGTATTAATTTAGTAATATGCCATTATTTTACTTGAATGTTAAACTTACAGTACACTTTTGGCTGATTGTCAACTTGCCTTATTGTATATTTACATCGCTTAAATAAAAAAAAAAAGGAACAGATCATTATATTCTTCAATTGATTAATCAAGTAACTGAATATTTGAAGAAACTAATATGTTATCGCTATTTCAAAATTCATATCATGTGCTCTAATAATAATGGCTATAAGGATATAATGATCTGGTAGTATAGTCGACTTCGTCGCCCTAATAAAATTGTTTTTGACAGGAACAAGAGCGACTTTCCAATAGAGATCGTTCCAGTAGAGAAGCAGAACAGGAACGTCAATGGAAACAGTTGCAAGCGTTACGACAGCAACAAGCACAGATGCAGCAACAAGTTATTCACGAGCAACGTGTACACGGTACACATCGCACAACTATTCTTATAGACGTAATAAGCAATTACCTTTTACTGATTGATAATTTTTTTTTTCGTAATAGCTATTGCAAGAGTTCATAGACAAATAAGTGAAGACAATACAACTCAAATGAGTACCGACAATACTACAGGATTAACAACGCAACTACAAGTGTCTACTGCACAGGTATTTGCTTGATATGATTTTTGGAAGACATAATAAATATTATATATTATATTATAATAATACTATATAAAGTATTTCTTAATTCATTGTATTTTATGGGAATCACAGGATGGAAATCATATGGGACCACTTGCGTCACCGTCACCTGGATCGCGCAACACATTCGCCACTCCTCCTGTGAAGGTGACACGAGGACTAGCGCCTCAGAGTCCCCATCAGAGTATACCGCGTTTACCTAATCAACCCTGTGCAACGATGACACGCCCAGTTGGAGCAGTGGTTAGGCCCGGGATGCCGAATAATTTTACACAACCACCCTCGCCGTTTTCTCCGCAAGCTCCGCAATCCCCACACGATTTTCCACAATCTCCAGCCTCTTCGCAATCTCAAGATCATTTTCAACGTTTCGACAATGCCGAAGCGTATTCCCAAGCCTCTCAAACATCCAGGTCGCAAATATCCGGCACACCCTCGTATTCCACGTCTCCCAGAAGCGATGTGTTCTCTCAACCACCAGGTACACCGCGGCCTATGTTTAATGCTCCTACTACCACTCGTCCTTCCGCTCATGTATACGCTCCGTCTCGTACACCTGACCCGTACAGTAGTCAACCGCCCACACCTTCTCCTGCTCCGAATTATCCTTCACCGAGGCCAGAGTCTCGGCAAGAACCGCAACCGCCAGAAGTATTTAATCAACAGCCGGAAGTCAATAGGCAGTTGCGTGATCTTCTGCAACGGCAGCAGTTTAACAAGAAGATGGATCCTGTGAACCCAACGTGGAATCAAGGTATATATCCTTCAAAAAATCCTTCGTAGCGAATTATGGATTTCATTGGTTTGCATGTATGTTTCAGATGGGCAGAATAATTCTGAAAATAATCAACAGCAGTTTGATGCGGCGCATGTGCAACTTCCGCAACATTCTCAGGCGGCTAGCAGCACGGGTGAAGGTACTTTCAGGCATCCTTTACCTCCTGGGATCGTGAGACCCAGGATGCCCATTCAGACGAATGTTTTAATAAGGAATCAAATTGGTACGTTCGTGTGGTTTCGCTTAAAAGAATTATTACACTATTTCTATTTCTGCTAGAATTATATTAATGTTTATATTGAACGGTTTCGCAGGTATAAATGCGCGACATCCTGTGGCGGGAAATGTTGATGCCAGAGTGCAAAATATTGATCCTCGAACTAGAATGTTGTTGCAAAGACCACCGGTCGCTGCGGCTATACCTCAACAACATTTTCAAGGGAATCAGAACTTGCAGACACGTATGCCAGCCGTAAGAAATCCTATAACGGAGCCATACGATGTTTTACAACAACAAAGGTTTCCAGGTGTGTTATGCTCCTCAGAAATAGTTTCAACCTGGCTCAACGTACGATAGTTAAAGCGAATGGGTGTCTAATTATTGAAAATTGTGTTACCAGATCCTAATCAAGGGCAAGTTATGGGACCGCGTATAGTGCGAGCGTCGCAGGACAATTTGAATCAAGGAATCAGAATGTTGAGTACGCAAGGGATGGTGCGGGCGCCCCTCATTCCAACAACAGTCAGCGAAGCTACTGTCAGTCCATCAGAGCCGTCTGAGATTCCGGATAATGTGACCGCAGAGCTTGAAAAATTGGAACAAGAGGGAGCACCGATGGTCGAGGTCGAGGGAGTGAGTGCAATATTAGGAGATCTAGACGACGACGATGAACTGCTCGGTAAGTAATCTCCCTTTCTTTTCAATTACAGAATAAATACCACTGTGAATAGTATATTTAATGTTTAATTTTATCTGCAGCTGAAATGGGAGCGGACTTTAATATCCTAGAGTATGCCGACCCAGAACTAGATAACATAACCGGTGGCGAGAAAACAAATATACTTGATTTAGATTTGGAGCAAGTAGAAGTAGAAACAAAAGACGAGAAACAAAAGAAAGAAGTTAAGGACGAGGTACGGAAGTCAACGGAATTAAGCACCACGAGTGCGGTGCACACCGATATAAGCGACACCTGTACGACAACTACGGTACAGACACCGACGGAAACGTCGAACGTGCCAACACAAGCACAGACTGTACCACCAATTACTGTAACATCACAAACACCGCAACAACCATCCACTATCATGCCTCAGTCGCATGCGCAAGCCGTTGTTGTACAACAACAAATGCATCAGCATGTTCAGCAAGCCGCGGCAATGGGTAGACCCATGCCTCCGGGAACACGGTTACTATCACCTGACGGAGCAGTGGGTGTTGTTACGTCGACCAACACTGTTACTGTCAGTTATCCGTCCACATTCCCCGGACATCCTCAAAGAATACCACAGACACACATTCAAGGTGAGGACGTTAGAAATGCTATGAAAATAATGAATCGAAACTAGGTTTAAGTATCGTATTTTAAATTGTATTTCATTATTACAGTATCTCCGCAGCAACGTTTAAGTATGAGAGTAGCAGGTGTACCGAATGTGGCCGGCAGAGTAGTTGCAGTGAACCACATGATCGGACCACGAATGCCCCTCGCGCCACCACCACCACCACCTCCACCCCCATATCCTGGGCCACCGCCACCATACCCTGGACCCATACAGGTACGTACTTGCTACTTTTGATGTTTTGAAATTTTTGCATCGCTTTAATCTTGAGTATTTTTACGCAATTATATCTAACACTCTCCTCTAACCATGAGAAACTAAATTTCTCACAGTCTGACAAGTAATAATACGCTTCACGAAGTACATAACATGATTCACCTAGAGACAGATGTGAACCTTGGATATCAAATACCTTATTGATTATAAACAAAATTTAGTGTGGCCCAAAAATTAGTGCACACACACACGCATATCGATTGTATCACATTTATTGCTATATTGTTAATACAGTGTAATTAAATATTTACGTTTCTGTAATATTCAACATTGGATAATACTCGGAAGTTCGTAACTTCATGGTACTCTGAATTTCTATAATTGTTTCCATACAAAGTGTCGAGTTTTGTTTGTTGAAAGTACAAGCAGTGCAAAACGGGAGATTTCGAGTTTGCTATGAACGTAGGTGTAGGCAAGTAATTTATTTAATATAAGAGTATTTTGGCTGGTAAAATGGTGTTTTGGCCTGGGTGTTTGCAATGCATTGGTGTTGGTGCATGTCTAGATGGGACTGTGCCCAGGTGGGCGGGGTATGACGCGGCCCCCAGTCCATATAGGGCACCCAGTACCGGTGGCGGGTCCACCAATGGCCCCTGTGGTACATACTGGTACACCCGCAATGACACCTCACCCTCACCGAAGACCCTTGCTTCTGCAGGTGAGCAAGACTTGGGGAATTTTCAGCATTCAGCACAAAGTAATCACCTGCAATACCAAGATTTCAAGAATATCAATATTTTAGCACCACTTCTTTTCCTTCTATCTTTAAAGTAATCGATAGTTGCAAGAAATGCAGTTAAAGTGATAAATCGTGAAATATATTTGATTACACTAGTGACCACTTAGGAAAGGATTTTCATAATTCTATCGGTATCACTTCGATCTTCTCGATGTATATTTTTATTTCAACGTATCATCGATTCGTTAATAATTATAATTTCGATAGAAACGGTATTCGAAAAGTGTACGAGTATTACTAAGAGACTGTAATTACGATGGATTTAGGTCAATAGTTGCTACTTCCATGAAACAAATAATAAAATATGTTGCATTTATATGTGTGCATGTATGCTACAAACAAAGAAGAATTACAAGCTTGACAAGTCCGTATACATACAGTTATCGATATTTGCTTAAATGCAATTTGAAGTTCTATTCGTGTTCACATATGAAATTATAGAATTTTAATAGGAGCGATTGTAGGGCTAATACACTTGCATGTTTGTATTTTTTTTTAATTAGCCGGAATGATCAGTGTGCTTTGTTTTAATCTATAATAAACTGAGATTGCGATATATAAATTATTGATTCGATGCCCTATTCAAATTTATGATATTTTGTAAAACGGTTGAAAGTTAGATAAGCTGTCAGTAGTCGTTTTCACAGGAACAACCGTTGTTGCTGGAGGAACTGTTGGAGCAAGAAAAACGCGAACAGGAGAAACAGCAACAGCAACAACAGCAGCAACAGCATCCGAGCGATAACGCAAGTTCTGGAGGACCTCTAATTAGCGACAGTGAGTTTGAAAGATTTAAAGCAGACGTTTTGGGTTCTGCACCTCTTGCTTCTCCTCCACAAGGAATTACATCAGTACCTGGAGGAGTTCCTGTAATTAGGCCACCTTGCACGCCAAGACCACCATCCGCTCCAGGTACCAGTTGGCAGCAATCGGTACCAGATGCTTCGAAACTAACAACCCAAGTGCCAAGGCAACCAATAGCTACACAGACACCGCCTGAACGTCAGTATCACGGGTGTATACTCGCCTCGTTTAACTTGTTCCATACTTCGGATACACGCAATTGGAACCTGGTTTTCCAATTACGCTCGCCGATAGTTGCGTCTGCATGGCACAAGTTAAACGAGCAGAGCGTACCTAGATATTGCCATAAAGTCTTTATCGTTTCTCCGTTACAGCGAGGGTTGCAACCTTCAACATTTCCCAAATACCCGCTCCACCCACGCCGCCGGAGACTATCGTGAACGAACAGGATCGCCAAGTACAAGTGCAGTATGAACAGTGGCTGAACCATCAGCATCAAGTGTTGATCCAGCAACTGAAGTATTACGAAACTGAGGTACAAAAGCTGCGTAAAATACGAAAAGTAAGGATAGAATATTTTTCTGTTGCGGTGTTTTCTGTTTTCTAGTCTCGCACGATGCGGATTCATTACAGTTACACTCTTCCGTAATTTTACAGTCCCTCAATAGTAAACAGCGGCAGCTCCGGAAATCCGGGAACGAACTAACCGAGAACGATGCGGCTGAACTCCAACGGATCTCCAGCGAGCAAGCTATACTGCAGAAACATCTGGACGCGAGTCGCAAGCAAACCCGGCAACACGGGATGCTGATACAGGAGTATCAGAGCAAACAGCAACAGAGACAGCCGCAACAGCAGAGCAGCGAGCCATGTTCACCTTTGATGTCGCCGTCCCAACAGTCGCCGATGCACAGTCCCGCGGCGGTCGTTTCGCAGAGTCCAGGCCCCGGGAACGTCGCTACCAGTATGATACAGCATTCGCCAGCCACACCCATCATTCAGCACAGTCCGAACCCACCGTTGCTTCAACATAGTCCTGGCAACCCGCAATCCGGAAATCCTGGAACAATGTCTCCACACAACATGCAGCAGTCGCCTAGAATTGGAACTCCGCACTCGCAGAGCGAAGAAAGTCCTTTCAGTCCTGGTGCTATGCCGTCTCCAGGAATGTGTGTCCCCACAGCCACCAGAATGACATCGCCTCAACACCGCGCCATTATCACCGGAAGGCTTGCAACAAGCCCGGGCGCGTTTACTCCAGACGCGCGAAACACGCAGCAAATTATCGGAGACCAAGGGGTCAGGGTTCACGGCCTTACTCAACGTTTCGTCCGTCCGCCTGCCGTGGGAGAACCCGGACAGAGGCCCAGATTGCAATTGCAAGGTGGAATCGTGTACGGGCAACGTTCACCCCTTGGAAGCCCTCAGCCGACCCAACAGACTTTAATAAATCAGCAGCATCAACAGATGTTGCAGCGCCAACAAATTATCCAACAGCAGCACGACAACGCTGGGATTCTACAAGATGGGCAAAACGCTATAACACAGCGTACCTTACAAATGGCACAGCAGAGGCAACAACTGCTGCAACAACAGCAGCAGCAACAACAGCAAAGACAGTTCTTGCAGATGCAACAGCAGCAGCAGCAACAACAGCAACAACACACCATGCAGAAGCCGCCGAGTTCGCCGATGGTTTCGCAGCCAGCAAATTCTCCGAGTCCACAGCTTCACCAACAGATTCAACAGAATTATGGACAACCGCCGAGTTCGCCTATGCCCCGTAGCCCAATGGTTCAACAGACGATGGGATCGCCGATGCTCCAGCAACAATTGAGTCAAACCTCGCAGCCTCCTAGTCCTATGAACACGAGGATTCACACCCATCCACCTAGCTCGCCGATGATATCGCAGTATCAACCGCCGAGTCCCATGTCACGGAATCATCCGTCAACGTCGCCGATGTTGCAACATCAATTAAGCAACGCGCATCATCCGCCAACGTCTCAGCCGCCTAGCTCGCCTATGCCTAGAAGTCCGATGGTCGGTGGGTCCCCCATGCAAATGCAGAGAAGACAGTCTACCGGCAATAGTCCAGCAATGCCGGATCGACCGCAAAGCGTAGAGAACCCGGGAACCCCGAGGACGCCTCACACTCCGCACACACCGCATACGCCGCATGGTACTTACGCAACTCAGAATTCGGGCAACATCTCGGTGACGAACGAACAGCAGCAACAGATACAACAACCGCACCAACATCAACAACAGTCGCAGCAAGAACAGACTCAATCGACGGACCACTCGAACAGAGGCGGTGGGAATCCGCACAATCCAATGAATCCGATCCCGTTGTTCAGCACCTTTGGACGATTCGGCTACTTCAAGCTGGGCTTGAGAGGCGGTTCCCCTATGTGGTCGACGAAAGCTGAGACAAGCAAAGGCAAGACCTCCGAGTCGCACTTGTTGAACATCGACGAAAAACCTAACACCTCTGTGGTGGTGCACAGAAAGACGGGTATCCCGCAGTCGAAGATAAACTCGTTGGTATGCGCAGATTACAACGATTTCGACGACGATTCCCATACGCCGCCGCAAACACCGCCAACTTCTTTGGAGAACAAACAAACAACGTCGTTGTCCGATAACGGGCCGTTGACTTTGGGTAGCCCGAGTAGCAAAATGGAGCCGATTCCTGACACAACGGATTACGACGACGATAAGACTATAGTGAACACCGAGGTAACGTTGAGCTCTACCGCGCAACGGGACAGCGACGACATCACGGTGATAGATCAGTTCGGTGACTCGGAGCTCGTCGATGTTATATCGGGGCCCCTCGAAGGCGACATGCCGGAGGAATACGTGCTGTTCGAGCCTGGAATGGTCGTGGACCTGTCCGCGGATAGCAACGACTCTCTCTGTCACGCGGGCCACGATTTGGTTCAAATATTGGAGATCGAGAATTCCGAATCTCAGACGGACGAACCGATACTCAGCGACGAGGACTTGGTACCGTCTCACACGAGAAACAAGAAAAGCCTTAGGCTGGACATAGTGAGGACGTTGCAATCCGGGAAGAGATTGGTAGCGGTTACGGATACCCCCGAGTCGCCTGATCAAGAAGAGCTTCGGGTGGACCCCTCGCCTGGATCGTACATGGACCAATCGCCCGAACAAGATCTTATGGTTTCTTTCGTCAGCGAATCCGAAGTAGTTATTATTGACCCTAGTACAAAGTCGCCGGAAGACAATTTGTCCAAAGAGTCGTGCACGGAGGAAGTCGAGAAGGCGGACAGCATCGGTGTTCCGGAACCGTCGAAGGAGAACACCGTTTCCGAGTTGGTCGCGGAGGTTCAATCAAAATCCCAGAAAGAATCAAAGCAGAATAGAAGTCCCCCGTCCTTTCTGTTCTCCGAGAAAGTGTCGTATAATCAAATGCCCCCATCCAGTGTGCATCACGCGAATATCGGCGTCTCGTCGATGAGCAAGCCGACAGTGTCCTTATCTACGCTCGGAAACGTAAATATTAGCACCAGCAATGTAAATACAACCACCGCATCTGCCAACGTATTGGTAGCCACGGACACGGCTGTTAAATCGACCCCGGTGTTTACGACCTTGAGCATCACAAAAGACAATGTATCCACTTCGTTCAATAACAAAAAACAACTGCCATCGACTATGGCGAGCATCGTCGCGGACGCCAAAATCGCGGCTAAGCTTAGTCAAACGGCTTTGGAGAACATCGCTGTCGGCGCCCAGAATACGATCAAGTCGGATTCGTTGCTGAAAGTCAGCTTGCCAAGTACGGACGTTTTGAAACCCGTCACTACCGCGGACAAACTGTTGATATCGGCGCCAAGCTTACACAACGAGTACACGAGTTTCCTACAAAACACCATCACGACCACGCTGGGGACGCTGAGCAACCCTACGAAATTGGTACTGAGCGTGCAGCCGACCTCTGTTACGCTTTCCACGCCCAAAATGTCTATACCCGAGCTGCCCAAAAGGGAAACCGGAAATAACTTGACAGTGGTAACGAAAGAAACTGCCCAGCTGGAGAATTTCGAGAAGATCTCAAAAGCGAAGAACGAGATGGACGAGACCGATCATTTGGGGAAAAGTCTAGAAGAGAACAACGTGGATTCGTTGAGCGTAAATGTTACCACGAGCTCGACGATAAGCTCGGATTCAATTTCGTCGGATGACAAGAAGAACGATCCTTTGAACACAACGGACGAATTGGAGAGCATGCTGGAAGCGATTCATAATCCGGCCGAGAATACTATAAGCAGGGAGACGACTCACGCGGATAGTAAAACGGACGCTGTTTCGTTGAAGAGGATATCGCCTGTGACGGATGATTTATCGTTGGTAAACATTTTAGAAAACGACGCGGAGTCTGTCGAGAACGAAAACAAAGATGAGACTGTGACGACGACCACCGAAGCGCAAAGGATTAGCAACAAACCAAAGGAGATCGAGCCGAGCATAGCGGACACCGGCACGCTAAGCGTGCCGCAGAAAGAAAAGAAACAACACCAACAGCACGATGAATTGTGCAGAGACATCGAACCGAGCAAACCGTACGTACAGCACTGCCTGAACGAGGAGAAGAGCATGATGGACGAGTCATCCGACGATATACTGGACATGCTGCACAACATAATATCGTCGAAGCCGGAAATGGCCAACAGCGAAATCCTTCAAGAAGATAATTCCAGGAAGTCGATGATGTACGAACTGCCGACACCGTTGGATACGTTGCCTTTGAACATTCTTCAGGATTCTTTGATGGATCTGGAACAGGAGCCTTCGGACAACGAACATCTGTTGTCGAACGAGAGCAAAGGACCAAAGCCGCGGAAAGCGAATTCTCCGCCTGCGGAGCCTGCGCCGAAGAAGAGCTCCCCGGTCCCGCATCAGAGCGCTCCCCTCGTGGTGAGCACCATAGCGCAATTGCAGAAATGCACGACAACGGTGCCGCACCTCTCTCCGCTCTCGAAGCCTACCGAATTGACCTCGAATGTCGCGAACGTCTCGCATCAGCTGCGAACGTTGCTCTCCTCTCTGCAAACAAATCATTCGCAAAACTGTACAACCGTGAATCAAGCGGCGATCGTAACGATGGTGTCGTCATCGCTCTCGGGCCCAAAAATAGGAAGTATACTGTCGACGACGAGCACGTCCACCCCACCAAATTCTGTAAATAATCTGCATAGTAACGCGAACGTTCGTCTGCAGACGTGCATGACCACCTCTCATTCGACGACGCCGAGCAAAGCCGACTTAGAGACTACCACATCTAGTTATACTCCACATACAAAAGAAAGTACAAATTCTACAGTAAGCGTTGTTTCTACTTTGTGTAAAGTCATGCCTTCGGATCCATTTTTACGAGTTACTTCCAGCGGGATACAGTCGCAACCTAGCAGTAATCTTTCTCTACAAACGTCGTCTGTGATCACCCCTAGACCGCCGACCAATTCCGGGATCTCGATAACTTCGAACGCGATGCTGAACGCGATGCTGGCCGGTACCAATTCGGCGAAACCTACCATCGCCGGTCACCGGACGAACACCGCTCCAACGCAAGCCAGCAATCTGCTGAGCTCGGTGATGGCGACTTCGGTGCAACGCACTCAGAGCTTGCAAGCGATACTGCAAGTAAGCTCGGGGGTTTGCGCGGCCCCGTCCCGTGTCGTTGTTAACGCTACTTCGACCACGGTCACCACGTCCATGCAGTGCGTTAGAACCATCGTGCCGCCGATAGTTACTACGAGCACCAGCAACATCAACGTCACCACCAGCATATTGCAATCCACGTTGTCGCAGACACCGACTCTTTTGCACTCCCAACTCACTTCTGGACAGAACCAATACAAATCGACCGGACACTTATCGGTGGACGCCAAGAACACCGATCTCGAGAGACTGGCTCAGAGCACACCCTCGAAGAAAGACCAGGACGAATCGAATTGCAAGCCGCAGCAGCCGGTCCTCGAGAAGCCTCCGACCACCAGATCGGAGTTGGAGATCAACAAAAGTACCACTGGTTCGCATAGGATGGAAGAGTCGCAGAACGTGTTGCTGAAGCAGCTGCTACAGAACACAGCGTGCGCGACAACCACGCTATCTTCTGGTTCTTCTCAAGGCCCTAGCTTACCGCTGGTACCATCGCTGGAGGCACAACTGGCAAGACCTGTGCCGCCTACGCCGTTTTCCGTGTTGCCGCCCTTGTTGAACGAGGTGCCGGCACCCAAAGCCACCACCAACAAGCAAGTTCTCACCAGAGAGACGTCGTTTTTATCGCAAACAGTGACACCATTGAAGGTACAGAGTCCTCCGACCAAAGAAGAACCACCGAAACCGTCTCAGCCTTTGTCAACCTCTGCGCCGGTCCTGTCGCAGCAACGCGTGGCCGACGGTTTTCCGAAGCAACAACTGACGCCGCAGCAGCCTGCGAAAGCCACCCCTGTCTCGACCCAAGGGAACCAACAGTCGACCACCACCGTCGCCAAACAAGCACCGCCGCTCGCGGCGAAACCTCCTGAAACCACCCCTCCTGTGAAACAGGAGTGCGTCGGTACTCAACCGCAGGCAAAACCTCCCAGTGACTCTGTGATCAACAACACCGTTCCAGTCTCGCAACAATGTGTACCGGCTTCTATGGCTGTCTCGCGAGTCGTTCCTCCCCAGCCGAAGCCCGTGATCACGACAGTAGCTTGTAAAACTATACAACAGCCCACGACGACGCAACAAGTATCGAGTGCTATCCAAGTGACACAGACATTGACTACCGTCACAACCACTACCCAGCCGCAACCGCAACCTCAACCTCAGCCCCAGATACCAGCCACCCCGAAACCCATTGTTTCGTCTCAACAACCATCCCCACACGTAAATACAATACCGCCATCAGTGCCTCATACGGTGTCTCATACTGTGGGTCACCAAGCCCAGGCGTCACAGGGTGCAAATGCACAACACGCAGTGCCTTTAGTGGAAGTCAAAAAGGAAGTTCTCGACGAAGTTCTATCTAGTGGTACACCTACCCAATTAACCGATACCAAAGAGTTTCTTACTGCCAAAGAGGAGCTTATCGATGGATCGATTGACGACAAAACTGGTACGTGACGCGCGTTTCAAACGCGTTATAACCGTTCGAACTTGGAGAGAGAGATTTAAAAAAAACGGATCATTTTATATTCCAGATCTCAAGAAGTTGAAAAGGCGACAGTATCAACAAAAACGGAAACAAAGCCAGGGAAAAGACGCGGCGGCAGCACCGCAGAAGAAGCGTGCCAGGAAAGTGTCCCGCTTGGACGAGGATTTTGACACGTTCATCGAAAATGTGATGACGCAATTACGACAACTTCAGCCAATGGCAGTATTAGAACCCCTTCTAGGCAAGAATTACGGCGTGTGTCCTATCTTTGGCTCGGGAGACTTGACCAAAATTGGAAGTCAGAAGGACTACAGTACCAGGACAGGGGACTTAGCGGGTTCCTACGGATCTGCTACGTTGCCGGGCGTATCCGACCATTATAACACCCAGCCGTTTGGCGAATTAGAACCATTACCACCTCAACAACCAGCTTCTACTCAGCGAGGATTCTACGATCAAGAATTTCCTCCTCTGAAACTGGACGACTGTGAGCATCGGTTTACGATGAAATCTGTTACACAGTTCGATGACCGATCAATGCTAGAAATGTGTTTTTATCATTTTCAGCCGATGAGAAGAAAGAAAACTCGTTATCGGCAAATCGTGATGTCGATTCTCCTGATACAATTGTTAGCTCGTCTTCACCCGAATGCGTCATTCCAGAGTTCATCCACCGGTTTCCAGGTTTAAGACTGATCGAAGAAGAATCCGACGAGGAATCCGATTGGTTGAAACGAGTCTCACCTGTAATACCTTTAATCTCACCGATACCGATCAGACTTAAACCAACTTACGCCAGGGATATGGCTAAGCAGGACAAAGAGAATCTCGGAATACCAAGGTATGCGGTACACTTGGTCATCTTTCAAAATAAAATTGGAATCGTTCATATGTTTTGTAGTTGTTGTAACGAATTACATCATACTTTCTCTTATATAGGCTCGGGAAATCACCTCCAATACCTCTGAGAGATGGCAACGTAACAGTTACATTAACCTTGAACAGTCAGGCCGCAGACGACATAATGGGAGTACTTAAAGACTTGGCTAATATTTTAAACATAGCTCCTCCCACTGGTTACCAGATAGTAGAACGTACCACTACTCCCCCTAGTCAGAAATTAGGTCTTTATAGAACCAAGGGAAAAGATGGTAAAGAGGGAGGTGTGTATCTATTTTACGAGCACTAATTTTAGTTTTGTAGATGTAGGCTTTTCTTTATTAGTTGACTTTACAGCTCCGATTGATATACAAAGTATTTTGAATGGCGCTGCGAAATTCTGTCGTCATTGCGAGGTTGTGATATTGAATAGTTTAATAAGGAAGAAAGTATCAGACTTACCATTCTTAAGTAAGGAAGAAGCGGAGCCTGGCGACGAGTTATGTTTCTGCTCGGCAGCTTGTTACATGCAATTCGCCCTTATGCATAGGACACCATCCAATACACAATATAAGGTAATCCTGTCGTTTTCAATCGGTCGATATTACATGTTATATTTAATTGAATTATGATATAATCGAATCGTTACCTTTCAGGCTGCAACCATAGTAGATCATCTGTGTCACAAAGTAGAGAATAAGATATTGGACGACAATTTCAAAAAAGGAAAGAAATTCTTGGTCAAACCGTCCGTCGATCCTGTCGAAAATATGGATATCGATCAACCGGAAAAGGAATCGGAAGTGAAGGTGAAGACAGAAAAAGAAGATCAAGATGTTCCCGAGATGAAGGAAGATGTAATCGAAGAAAAACGGCCGAAGAAACATCCGGCCGCGGAGGAGCATTCGAACGAGTCGATGGAGACGACACAACCGCCTGCGAAAGTATGGAGAGGCTTGCGATATAAGACTTGGTCGATCGGCTCGATGCAACCATCTACGAAGTATAAGAAACCCACCGACAAAGAAATCACGGAGGTACGAAACAACTCTATATGAATTTTAATAACGAAAATTAATGGTACAATCTCGGAAACTATATCAATTTGTTCTTTTTAGATGCTTTTCCGCATGGGGGTGACTGTGGTGCCTGCAAAAGCGGAAGACAGTCGACGGTGTATGTTTTGTCACAGTCAAGGCGATGGTACAGCCGACGGTCCCGCTAGGCTACTTAATTTTGACGTCGATAAATGGGTACATCTGAATTGTGCTCTGTGGTCGGAAGATGTGTACGAAACTGTAAATGGTGCCTTGATGAATCTCGATACCGCTTTGCAACATAGTCTTGTATTAAATTGTATTCTTTGCGAGAAACCCGGAGCGACAGTAAAATGTTTTAAAATGCGCTGTACCAACGTTTACCACCTTGGCTGCGCTGTCAAAGATGGCTGTGTTTTTTATAAGAATAAGGTAAGGAACTCCAGAAACCATCGATAAATTTTGTTTCTATCGCAGACACCGCGCTAATGATTTCCTTGTTTAGAGTACCTATTGTTCACAACACGTGCAAAAGAACGAGAAAGACAATGAACTGACGACACTGTCCGTGTACAGAAGAGTGTACGTCAATCGTGACGAAAACAGACAAGTCGCAGCTGTGATGCATCATTCGGAACACAATCATCTTCTGAGAGTCGGCAGCCTAATATTCTTGAGCGTTGGTCAGCTACTTCCACATCAACTCGCCAACTTTCACACACCGAATTACATATATCCAGTCGGCTACAAGATCGTTCGATTTTATTGGAGTATGAGGAGGCCGAACAAGAGATGTCGATACGTCTGTTCCATCCACGATGTCTCCGGTCGGCCCGAGTTTCGGGTGTTGGTACAGGAACCGCTTCAAGAAGACGTCGAGTTACGGGATGCCACGCCTCGCGCTGTCTGGAACCGGATTCTCGAGCCGCTCGCAGAGTTACGAAGATCGACGCACAGTGTCCAGTTATTCCCGCGCTATGTCTCCGGCGAGGATTTGTTCGGATTGACCGAGCCAGCGGTCGTCCGTGTTCTCGAAAGTCTTCCAGGCATCGAAACCTTGACCGACTACAGATTTAAATACGGTCGGAACCCCCTGTTAGAATTACCATTAGCGATTAATCCCACCGGCAGCGCCAGGACCGAGGCTCGTCTGCGAAATCAGCTTCCTTGGAAGAGGCCGCACACACAGCGCACAGGATCTTCGGCCCGGGCCACCTTCGTCCCTACAGCCACCGTCGCGGGCGAGGTGGCCTGTCCCTATTCAAAGCAATTCGTTCATTCCAAAAGCTCGCAGTACAAGAAGATGAAACAAGAATGGCGCAACAACGTCTACCTGGCACGCTCGAAAATCCAGGGCTTGGGACTGTATGCTGCGCGCGACTTAGAGAAACACACTATGGTCATCGAGTACATTGGAGAGATCATTCGTACCGAGCTGGCCGAGACTAGAGAGAAGCAGTATGAAGCAAGGGTAGGTTCTTCGATGCGTAGACTGTTGACTGTTAGAATAGACACGGGCAGCAACAATTCTTCGACCTGTAATTGTTATAGTAAAGAGCAATCTATGCTTGCAACTGTCTCAAAGTTAATCTTAATATAACATTAACATTATTTGTTGCAGAATCGAGGTATTTATATGTTTCGCCTAGACGAAGAAAGAGTGGTAGACGCGACATTGTGTGGAGGTCTCGCGAGGTACATCAATCACTCTTGTAACCCGAATTGTGTCGCTGAAATCGTAGAGGTCGAACGTGATCTTAGGATCATTATCTTTGCAAAGCGAAGAATCTCACGTGGCGAGGAGGTAAGTGTAAAATATTCGCATTATATTTCCTTTTTATCTGTAGAGCAATTAAAGAAGATCATTATCGTTGTTCACAGCTGGCATATGATTATAAATTCGACATTGAAGATGACCAGCACAAGATAGCATGCGCATGTGGCGCGCCTAACTGCCGCAAGTGGATGAACTAAAGCTCGATCCACCGTTGTTATTGTTACTACGTTATTGGGTAGGTTTTACATGAAGAAAAAAAATATATAAATATATATAAATATATATATATTATATATATATGATAGACACATTATTTAATTTGTAAAGTGCCATTGCAGTTTGACTAATTGATTCATAGTGAAGTTGGTGCTATGCCATCACAACATTCCTCCAAAGTTGTACAATATTAGTTTTACTTTACAAAACATAGAAACATTGATCGCTTGTATATTACGGATACAATTGAGGACACGACGCGAGATAATTGCGAAATAAATTTTATGAGTCGTGTGTATGTATACAGGAAGTTTGTATCTTTGTATGTTGAGTAGAGTCAACGTTTAGTTGACCGATATTGTAATATAAATCGTTTATTAATTATTATTGCATATACATTGCACTGTATCTGTACATAAGTAGAGATCCATGTTATTTTGAATCACCAGATGAAATATGTAAAGTAAACAGTATCTAATTTAGAATTATATACAATTATAACTATTTCATTATATGATAATAAATCCGTACAAAATCTACTGATACATTTCGTTTTTGTAAATACCTTCTTTGTGTAAATCACTGCTGTCACATAGTGATGTAATTAATGTTCTATTCTGATAACTACATATTGTAGATAAACGTTTGAAAAACAAAATCATATTTATGTAGAATTATTTTTTAAATAGACTACAATTAAATTTTAGTCTTCGATGTTTCTTTATCCTACTACATAACGTGGAACCAACCCGTCAGAGATCCCTGCAATTTATATCCTTTTTCTGACTTTATATTGACGTGTTCACATAGGGAATTGAAACAAAAAGAGAAGCGATTTATGTTCACAATTTTATTCTTGTAATCGTAAAATGATATTTACAAAGGAATATTTCGCATGTACAGACAGTACACAGTCATTCATCGAGTTTCGGTTAGCATAAGAGGAATACAAGAGAAATTGAAACAATATGTACAGTGAGTATTTTGCTGTAGGGACGCCTCGCGATCGTTTAATTTATACAAAACAAATACAACCGATTCTTTGCGATGATCAATTGTGCAATTGAAACGAGAAAGGGAAACAAAAAAAAAGAATGTGGAACAGAAAAAATATGTTAAAAAAAGCTTCACATACTTGTTATAAACTGTGTAAACGCGCGCGAGAAAGAGAGCAATACTTGAAAAAAAAAATCAAAAGCGAGCAAATGTAATCGACGAATATATGAACGTAAATGCGAGTACAAAATACATTGCAATGAAAATGTATTTTAAATGCGATTCTTTGGCATTTATGCACGATATAATTGTAAAGGCGATCTAACACATTACAAGTAAACATATATGTACAATTAAGAAATTCTCCCCTTAAGCGTGAAATAAGTACGAGGACAAGGTAACAACACTTACAAAACGAGAACGATTTCGTGTACTATGATTCATGTTCGGACAACGGTGTCATGTTTTTGTAAATGTTCACTATAAAAAACAGCTTTCACGAAATTTATCCTTCATTCGGTACTGTCGCTAACGTATACATGTATAGTGTATATTTCTCCTAAACACAGTTATTATACTAGGGAGAGAAGCAGTCGAAACGTCCTCCCTCTGAACAAGTGTTCAGAAATCCTTCTTTCGTTTATTAATTACTACACTTGATGCAGTTTCAGTTTTGTCATCGCGATTCCACACGTTCATTGAATTTTGTAGGCATAGCATGCTCGTGCGAAATCATATTTACAGTAGTTCCTTATAACTTAACACGTCACGTTTCTTCGATGAATATAGAGATTTTCTTCAAACAGCTTATCATTGGGTATTTTCAAACACTTTCAGAGCTGCTCTATTGCAAAAAGATCAACTAGAAAATTTCATTCGTTCGTTGGGTAGGCATTATTTGCGAGAAACTAGTATCAGTTAGAAATTGAATTTTCTCTGTAATAAACTTGTTTCGCTGATGAAGATCTCTGGCAATTGTTTTCTTTTTTTAAAGCGACAAAGATATTAAAAACGTTAAGAGCTTCGCGCTCGAACATACTAAAAATATAAAATATCCTGGTATCTTAATTGATTTGCGATATTGCTCCAAACGAGTTTCTCGTATTTAAATGACTTCAAATCCATTTACATGATTTACTTTACGACACTTCTGTTGGCGGCACGGTGCCCTTTCGTTGAATCAATGCAGAAAATAGGAGCTCAGCGATGCAACGCATGAAATTAAAAATATCCTATGAAATGAAAATCTCCGTCGAATTTTCATTACAAAGCTACAGTATAATCTCGGGGCACGTTGAAATCGTTTTGATGATCGCTTGCTTACTTCGTTCACGATGACACTGGCTCAATCCTGTTGCATGGAATAAAGTAATACAGTCATTATACAAGTCTTTAATAAAAACAGTTTAAATTAGAAAAAGAAACCATTCTTTTTACTCTTTTAAATCGTTAAATCAAATTTATCAGCATCCAACATCGGTAACTCCATTTCCATTTAATTTAATTATAAAAGAACGAAAAGCAGTATCTTGTAAACTATCAAATTTTTCTGTGGCGATCTGTTCAATGGAGTTAATTATATTGGCGACTGAATGGTTTTTGCGTTCGAACTTTTTCGAGGTACGTGATGTTCAGATAATCTCATCGATAAAAAAAATGAAATTAATTAGCGTCACTTTAAAAAAAAAATTCTGTTCAGAAGTTCGGGATTACTCGGTTAACGAGAGTGGAAACTGAGCTTTTTAATTAACATAGACAATAAAATTGCAGAGATATTGCAAGCTGTGTCGTTAAATCGTTACCCTTTATTGTCAATAAATACAAGTTATCCTAAACTTTCGAACAGTAGCATGTCATAGGCTGTGCCTGCCGGTTTTATCAAAGACAGCTGAATACCCAACATGTTCGACTATACGTTATAAATATGTTAAAGGGCAATTTTATAAGTTAAAATAGAACAAAAGTTGAGTATGACGATATTATAATTTTAGCTAAGTTTATAAGAGACCAATAATTAAAATCTCTCTGATTCACCAATAGATAACAAAGAGATCGAGCAGTTTAAAAACAAAATTTGATTTTTGTTTTATTTTACTTTATAGAATCATCCCTTAAAATTCTTACGACGTATAGCCGACTGACTGCGCATCCTATATGTATAAGTAGAATTTTTCTTTTATAAGTATACAAGATATTTGAATTTGATAAAGTTCTGTATACGAATAATTGTGATTAACGTGTGACAGTGTGATAATCATGCTTATATGTATAGTTTCGTCTGCAGCTGAAAACTTGGCAATAAAAATCAGCGTAATGTAGGTAGACTCGATGTATTGAAATTAATTGAGAACCGTGTTCGGAATTCATGCATTTCTACGAGAATTGTGTTAATTGCCTACAACTTGCAGGCCGGTCGTGTTAATAATATGGAATTTTATTGTGCTACTAATTGTGTAACTAAAATACCTGTCACCAAACAGAAATTCTACGTGCAAACGGTATACAGAACTTAGAGTGCATGCTATACTAGATTCTAAATTACATATCACATAACGATGCGTTACATGCAATCTTAATGAAGGAAAAAATGAAGATGCGGTATATCTTACGTAAGTACCTACTGGTATCTGAAACACTGGGAATCGCATATGAAACTTGTGGATCTATGTAATCTGGAGACTGTTTATCTTTATTGCCATTAGCATTATATAGTTTATAATAATCGTTATATTATCCACATATAATACAATTTTATGTACAAGGGGTCTAGTATACACTATGATTAGATGTAATGAACGACTTCTCGAGAACAATACAAAAGGATGATATTAATAAAAAATGGTAAACAAGAATCGAAGCAGCTATCTACAATTAAAATACAAAAGTAATGAAATATATATCTGTTTTAGCCTACGTTTAAATTAATAGTTTCTTAGATACTGAGCAGCAATATAATTTACAGGAACCGTATCTAAATATGCTAATATTCGACTAGTTAACAAATTTCTTAAATATTTGCTCTAGGAGGATGTTTGCAATTTATAATACAGAAGTTATACCAAAAATCGCTATATGAACCTTGTTCAATGTAACCACCAAAAAAAATGCAACTTTTGATTCATTCTTAAACTGAAAGGAAAAACAAATTAAGGTTTTCTAATACTGGATTCCCAAGAATACACAGCGTCGCTTTTTTTTTCTCTTATTAGATTCAGAATATTTTGGCATAAAACAATTATGTAATATTTACAAATGCTTTTGTATCAATGAACATAATGCATAATGACAAATATACGCAGCGGTTCTAAGAAATATTTTAGGTAATCCAATTCTATCGGTACGTTTTTTGTATATCGAACGTAAGAGCGTTGGCAACAAAGTATCGTTGAATCAACGAAGAACAATATGAAAGATGTAATTTTTTCATATCGGTAAAAACACTAAATTTGTTTTTTTTTTTTACAGTTACAACGTTCGATGAAGCATTTGACTTATTACGTAATACTTTTATGCAAGAATATAATATTCGTATACATATACATATATTTGTATATATGTACACGGTATATACATACATGTATATATATATACGGTACTGTATAGTCATTTCAGAAAGGCTAGAATAATTTCGATAAGTTGCTACTGTTATGCATCTAAACGTAATGTCAGAACAGTGATTAGAATAAGGTGAGGCCTACGTGAGTCTATCTGTTTTATTAATTTTCTTTCTCTTAACGTGAAACGAAAGATTCGATCTTTCACTTGTAATTTACTCTTCGTTAACTAAACTACCGAGAGTGACGCATTTTTTTCCCCTCGTTCACGTATCAACCAATTTACAGAACACAAGACACCGCGATCACAGAGAAACGTACACGACCAAAAATGGTTCCCGTTGTCCCAAATCGTAATTGCTTCTTTTTTTTTTTCATCGGGTCGCAACACATATTATAGAAAACGAGGACGCAGATCAAATAGAATTATTCGCGAAAATACACCAAATATAAAAATATATAGTACATTTACAGTTGTAAAATGGCTGATACACAGTTATACCGTGTGATAATTAGCATATAACATATTTAGGATGACACAATTCGCCGGTAACACACTGGACAATACCCTATTTTTCTCTGTCTAATGCATTGATGGACGACGCGCTGGTACAATCGATAAAAAATCTAAACAAGTAACATGAACTATTGTTAGAACATCATAATTAACAAAAATCGACACCCAACAGTAGGTTACACTGTTATAATTAACAAGAGGGAAATGTGTGACATGCTTCACGTTCAGTCATTTTGAGACATAATCGATAAAAACCAAACAGACAGTGCAACCTACTACCTATGCGTGTCACCATGTTCTTGCATTATTCTCTCTAAAGGTACAAGAGTCTCAAAAATCGCATTACTTAATCCTACACATAAAGTCTAATGTTGCAGAATATAAATTATATAATAAATGGATCTGAATGTATATTAGAACCGCTAACATTGAGGAATTCAGACTCGTACGTATCTAGTAAACAGTTCAAAAACAAGAGAGATTATCAACGTTGAAGAAGCAAAATTGACTGCCATCCTAAATGTGTTAAATATACACATAAATACTTTTTCTCCAGGCTCTCAACTTCAGCAACATAGCTGTACTCTTATTCCCTAGCGCAATTACCTTCGTTGTAAACTAACAATCAAAACCGAAACATCAAAACACGCTGAACTCTTTCGACAAGACTTCGTCAAATTCTTGTGACTTCGACCAAATATGTACTTTCAGATAATTTGACTGCAGGTACTATAAAAACGCTTTTCAACGATCTCAGTTCAATGATCTCGATAACCGTTAAATAAATATTTAACAATAAACATAATTCACTTTGAAGTTCGTAGGTCGTATAAATTTTGAGAGCTATCACTTTCGTCGCTTGCGACGTAACACCTCGACGCCGGCGTTGGCAGCCTATTATACCCTAAAACCGTTCACCGGAAATGCATTCTGTCGACAATGTTGGTCTAAGTTCGCGGACGACACTGACAAATCATGTCGAGAAGCTTGGTTACGGAAACGCCAAATAACAGTCCATCGAATTTCTTAAAGTAGCAAGAGAAGCAGATGTTACGTTACAACCACCAATCGCAACATGAACTAGTCCGACGATGAGTAATGTTAGAAAATGTTAGCAGCGAATTTAAAGCAGAAAAACCAGAAGCATGAAGGTATGCCTGAATAAGACATTTCGTGTGAAGACAGACACAGTTTGGTATAGTAACAAAGTACCGCACGATTTCTCTGTTATATATTATTATGTGATCTAATGATTTTACAATTTTTCATCGACACAATCATATTTACTATACAGCTAGTCTCTTATTACACAAAAAAAGTAGATTAAATTTCACAGTTACATTTAAGAAAGAGCGGTCCAATCATGAAAAACATTTCTTGTGTTGTGTCCTTCTAGCAAACGCTCTTATACATTTCGTGTTTCCGTTTTGTACAGGTAGTCTTATATGGAGATTAATTGAACAATAGTCACTTGTGTTATCCGTTCCTTGCAGTGTTCTTCGACGCTCGAACATCAACCGATCCAGGTATTAGAATTGTTCTATACTTAACTGGTCTTATCTTCAGTCAAGGCACGAATCTGAGTCGGGCCTTGTCAAGTCTTTGGTAAATCTTTAACAATCTACTAGATATAATTAGTGAATCATTTACACTATACTGAGTTAGGCATGAACCCTGACCCAACCACCAGTTAGTTGAACCGGTCTCGAATATGCGCTTAGGACAGCAGCTTTCTTCCTGTTCAATGTTTTATACAATGAATTCTTATAAAAACAATGATACTTGAGCGACGATGAGTCAAATTGACTACAAAGAAACGATAAAACGAAATCGACACCGAAGAACAGTTCCACGAAGATATTGTTTTCTCAAACAAAAAAATGCTGCTGTGCTAATAGCGCTGTGTACGAATGCTACCACTACCGGTTTGAATGGCAGCTGATAAATCATGATTAAATATATTAAAAGAGAATGTGGGTGAGTACACGGTACGGTACAGTACTTAACAAGTGATGTGTCGAATACATCGTTAGGTTTTCGTTAATACGTCTTCCAAATTTCAGCTGTTGCATCTGCCTGCTTATGCAGGTCAGACTAGACCACACATGCTGAAAAGACACCCATCACACGTCAACCAATGTCCCCGCCGTAGTCCTGATCGTTTAGCAGATTACGGTTGTAAATGGCAGCCCTGTAACTGTACCTATTTATGGCGGGTCGATCGGGAACCGGCGGTGGTACTAACGACACATCTGAATTCAGCAGAGCTCCGCTCCCTTCGTCTACTTCGCCGATACTGCTCTCCACCAACGACGGCTCGACTTCTGTAAATGCCAGTCTAGATCGTAGCAAGTACGCGTATGTCTTGTACCTCTTCAACTGTAAATCAGAAGGCACAAAGATTAATTAACGATTACATTTTGACGTATTATCTATTTTAGTAACGACATCCTAGTTCTCAGCTCAATGGCTACTAATATAATAATTACTAGAACAATTATTTTAGGTCCCGCCTGCTCCATTTTCTCTTACCCCTAGATCTCAACGTAAACGACGTTTAATAGAGCTGTTCAGACCTTGAACGCATCGTTGAAACATAAAGATAGAAAATGTCAAGTGGAGTAGCGATACTCCAACCTACAGAAAGTATAGAGAAACTATAGTTAAAGCGGTATGCCTCACCCGCAGAGTTATCAGACGCTAGTTCTATGGTTTAACGCAAAGCATTCCGTGCGAAATCTTGATAACAAAGCGAGACGATTACTAGCACTCGTAGTTACCTCGTGATGCAAGTAGGAATCCTTTTCCTTATAGTTTTGTACAGTGAGAGCTTTCGCCCCTCTTTCAGGTGGATGCCGTCTGTGCTCTTCTAGTTCGGCTTCTAACTTATTAACCCTTTCCTCGTGGTCCCGTAACTGTTCTCTCTAACAACACGAGCAAAAATCCAAGAAACTGTCAGTTGTTAAACACTTGGGAGAGCAAACACGCGAATACAGATGTGGCAGTTACACGCATATACTACTGATTCGGTATTGATGCTTTTAATCTCGTGTCCAAAAGGGATAATCTCATTTTGTCAATGGCTGTATTCCGTTTTGAAGATATGAGAACTTAGAGAACGAAGTTGGCTTCAGGGATAGTAGAGGAAGGCTTGTAAATAAAGAAACAACGGAGACAGATTATATTCGTTGCGTGGGCGAGGTGAAAAAGACGGTTTCTTAACGTTTTTTAGCACGTGACGCTACTCACAGGAGAGAGTTTGGTGTGGCTGCAGGGTAGCAGAGGACGCTGAAATTTTCGTTGGGAACCCACGGCCCCTGCTAACGGTTGACAGGAGAAACTGGCGCACACGAAATTGATTGTGTCGATCCACGACTGCAGTTCTTTGGAATCACTGAAAATAACGTGACTCTTAAAATATATCCGCAAAAAGTACATCGATTGCCTCCACTTCTTTCAATCGAACAACAAAGAACAAAAAGGAACTCGATCGAACACTTTTAAGAGAAATATTCATTTCCTTCTTCAATTCAATTCTTTCATAACATAAAATAAAATCTGTCGAGCTCGATTTGTCCAACCTTAGACTTTCATTCTGTTGTTATAACAATATCATAACCAGGAAAACTCACCTTGTTTGGAAGAGATATTCTGCTTGATCGGCAGTCTGTAACCTGAAGACATGTTGCTTTTTTGTATAATCCGATGCCTTTGTGGCCAATGCGTGATGGATACGTATCGCATTGTGCAAACTATCGTTGCGGAAGCCATGCTCGTCTTTGTGCAAATATAATACAAGTTCTCGCAATGTACAATAATACATTTTCCAGCCTCGTTTTCCAAACGGAGCTGAAACAATTCGCAAGGTTCGTGGTTCAAGATCGTTTGTTCGTTAGATCGTTGAATTAAAACAGAGAGAGAGGACCAATTGAAATTACTTTTCTTTCCGTTGGAATCGAAGCAACATTTTCGCATAACGTAACCCTTCTTAAACTCCGTAGCACCCGTAACATTTGGCACGTCGAGGAACGGATTCCCGGTCCCAGGTATCACCGGACCGTCGCCCTGTTGAATCACCTGATTCGCAGCTTCGTCCCCTTCCTCGTCCCTGAACAAGAGCGATTGCAATTAGCAATAAAATTCGCGTACACAAGGGTTCCGAAGAAGCGGCCGCGGTTTCTGGATCGACTTACAAGGCCCATTCCAAGGGGATCGATTTGATGGCGTTGTAAAGCTGCTTTAGCACCTCCCTAGGGAAATTATCGCCATCGTTCAGTTCCGAGAGGTTCTCTATAAATTCGTTACACGACATCTTCCTGCCCATGTTTTGACCGTGGAGGTCCGTGTTGAGCAGCATTATAGCGCAGGTTAGCGTATGAACGGCGTCTGAAACGCGAACGGTGGCCAACGATTATTACGGGCGCGCGTTCCCGATCTCTGTCACCTTATCCGGAATACGTACCCTGTGAGTTGAAGGCGCCAGGGTTACAATCGAGAAACCTCTTGGAGAAATGTACAAGAACCCTTTCCCTTTCCTGGGTCTCCCCCGTTAAAGAGAACTGGGCAAGGAACTTTCTGAGAGCCACGTCCAGCGAGTCCCGTTCGAAGTTGAAGTATCTCAAGTATTCCTCGGCTACCGCTCTACTAAAGTCGTTGCTGGAACCGAGAAACGGGGAACCAAGTTAGGGGGGGCTGCTAAAGCCTCGGTACAGCATGTGCACCTAGAACCGTGGTCACGGCGTGTCCCACATACTTTTTGCTAAGGTGTCTAGAGACGTCAGACTTTTTGAAACCGTCCAACGAGTATAGCCTCTTGGCCAGCCGAACCGCCGACGGGAGGTCCACCGCTTTCGGACTGTAATGGAAGCTGTGCAAACTTTCGATGTCGCTCTCTTCGTCCGCGGACTGGGGCGGCGACGTGCCGTGCTTGTCGTCGAAGTTGCCGATATTCAACGCCTCCTTCTCGTCCTCGCTCTCCTTCAGTTCCTGAAACGAACACGAACACGAAATCAGACATTTCTCTCCGCCGCTCGCCGCGGTCAGCGGAAGAATCCGGAATCGAGACGAATTCGGTCGATCAAGGTTTTCTCTCTCGCTTCCTATGGGAAATTCGTCGGACGCGATAATATTGACAGAGCAGGCGTGGTCACGCGCACCCCGTAGGCGGTGCAACGGCGGAGTGGGCGTGGCGAAACAGTGCGGCGAGCACGTTCCAAGACTCTTACCGAGGGGCTAAATCTCTGGCGACCTTGAGAAACGAATGAAATATTTGCGGCAACGATAGTCTCGACGAGAGAAACGAGAATAAAAAAGATACCTGATATCCGACAAACTCGGGCGTAACGTTCCCGCCAGCAGATCGTTGCACCGTGTTTTGGGCGGTCGAGGTGGGCACAAGATCGGAATTGGTAGGGTTTCCGCGTCGCCTGTTCTGCCTGGGACTGGTGTTCCTTGCGGCGGGAGCATCCTTGTCGGGCCCCTTGACCTGTATCACTATCCTGTGCTCGGAACTGTCCTGGCCGGACGAGTAACCGGTGGGCGTGGTCGCGGCGGTCTTCAGCCTTCTTTGGGGCGGTTCGCTGGCCAGTATCGTCGAGTCACTGTCACTCGGATCACTGACCATCATATCGCGAGCACTGAGTATGTCCATTGTCTCCTCGTCGTTGTAGTCGGGACTGGACATGTTGCTGATGGCCTCGGACTGGCTGAGGTCACCGTTGGTGGGATGAAGCCCGGAGGCCGAGGAGGTGGTCCCGTCGCCGGAGGGGCCCAGGGCTGTGGCGGTGGTGCCCGTGGGAACCGGCGGTGGGAACCTACGGGACCCAGAATTGGAGGACATGACGGAGGACGAGACCGAGGTAGGGGAGGCTGGCGATAAGGATCTCTGAGGACTAGTGCCCTCCGTCGAGGAGCTACTCGACGAGGATTGGGACGAGCTGCCGTTTTGGCAGCACGAGGTGCGCTCCGAGGCGGACGGCGAGCTGACCGGCGCGTTGTACGTCCAGACGATCCGCTCGCTGGACAGGCCCTGGCCGCTGTCCGGCCGCGTGTCCAACAGGGTGTTCAAGCTGGACGTGACGTCGTCGTCGATGTCAATGTCCACCGCGCTCATCGCCGGGTCCTTTTGGAATTGCAAGTGGTCCTCGGAGCGCGAGGTGCGCACGAAGCCGCTCGAGTAACCGAAACTCGCGGCGTTCGGCTTGCTAGCGTCGCTCTGGCCCGGACACTGGCCGCTCTCGCGTTTGCTGATCCCGACCGGAGAGGTGCTGGCCGAGTTCGAACCGGTGCACTTGTAAGCACGGTGGTGGCCCAGCATCTCGTTAGGACTGGTAGGTACCGAGTTATGATGGTGGTGATTGTGGTGATTATGGTGGTGGTGGGTATGATGATTGTTGTACCTCAGCGAGTCGACCTTCTTCTGGTGCTTCGGCAAAAGACCGCTGCTCTGCTGCGTTCGCGACAGATTCAGCATCAGGTCACCGGTCATCATGTAGGCTTCGAACCTGCGTCACAACACTCCTTTACTCTCTCCTCTACCGTTTAAGGTCGCGGAGCGACGAATCCGCTCCCGAGTTTCATTTCTCTACCGATGTACGAAATCGTTGCATGCTAGCTGTTCGACTACGCGCGCCAAACGATGTTCTCTCGTGCACTAACCGATCCGAACAACCGGGCTACACGCCTCGATTACACCCTGATCCGACAACGAGATCTTTGAACATTTCGTCGCACGTGGTCCAACAGCTTGCACGCGCCTTTCGTCCGCGAAGGGTCGAGACTCGTCGGTTCTTTCTCTAACATCTAGGTATGCGATCGGAGAGACTCCGAGTTCGATCAACTTCGCGGATACTCTCGGAGACCTGAAATTTGATCTCTAGAAGCTGGAAGCGCTACTCGAAGACTTCTCGCGACTAAGGAAATCTATTTCGCCGGCGAATCGAGTATACCCGAACGTCGAAGCGAGGCTCGTCCGACCCTGCCGACAGACGGCGACGTACCTAGGCGTATTGTTCTGTCTGGCGAACTTCTCTCCAGACAGAGGCTTCCATTGGGCCCGTTCCTCCTCCTTGAAGCTGTCGATCGGCTGGAGCAGCGCCTCCAGCTCGGAGGAACCGGAAGCGTCGCTGTAGGAACCGTTGCTTCTAGTCGTGTACTGCGTCGCGCCGGTCGGCTCTTGAGGCGATCCTCCAGGTAGCTCCGGCGTTCCGGTTTTCCGCGAGTCCGAGTCCTCACCATTACCCGAAGATATGGACAGGGGATTGTTCGCGAGGGTTGTCGCCTCGTGGGAGATCTTCGAGCTGTCCGTCTCGTCGCATGCCGGCTGCCCAGGTGATAACAAGCGACGCACGTGCGCTTTTATTGCGGGATCTGTAGAAACAACGGAGTTATCTTATCTGCGGTTCGGTCAACATCGTTCTTCTGTTTGCAGGCTCGAGGAAACGACCGTTTTGGGCGCTGTTATGTACACCGGGTGGCCCAAAAATGTCTCGTGATCCGGAAATGGGGGGGTTCCTCAGGGCATTCGAAGTAACTTTCTCCTTAGCGGAAATGCAATCCGCGGCTTCGTTTACGAGTTATCGACGAAAAACCCTGACCAATCAGAGGCGAGATCAGTTGACGCGAGCGGCCGAGCCAATCCGCGGAACTGGGCTCCTCCAGAGCCAGTCGGGCTCGCCTCTCATTGGTCACTGTTTTTCGTTGATAACTCGCAAACGAAGCCGCGGATCGCATTTTCGCTGAGGAAAAAGTTACTTCGAACGATCTCAGGTATCTCTCATTTCCGGATTACGGGACATTTTTGGGACACCCTGTATACATATACGGTATCCGATGACGATAAGCAGTATCTCGAGAGGAAAGTTGACCCGTTGATCTATCACAATTACTCTCGTCGGTTGAGTCACGAAGATTCCGAGCCGCGAATAGCGAAAGTCATTGAAACTCTGACTAATTGCTAATGTTACGCGAAAGATACTTGGCAAAGTCATCTCCAGATTTGCGAAATATATTCGCTCCTTGCAACCATTGTATTCTAGTTCGAACGACGAAGATTAGAAACGTTGAGTCAACCCGGAAGAAAAGCTCGAGGAAATCATTAGGCGTGATAGCTTCGAGAGACTATCGCGAGGAAAGCTCTCGAAGAGTTTCCAATGATTTTGAATAAAGCTTTGCACGACGAATACAATATTGCACTGCCACGTTATCGTACCAAACGCGGAAGGGAAAATCGGTCCAGGCATGTAGAAAGGAATTTCATTTCGCTCGTTTCTTCCGGCTGTCAAATGCCTAATAAAAACACAAGGAATCGAAGGATAGTTCCTCTTTTTCAGGGTTTTATTTTCCGAGCTAGAGAACCAGTCAATGACCGACGATACGAACGAGTACAGAAGCTTTCTTGCAGGTCGTTGTCTACTTCCGGTGCTTATCCTCGCTATCTGTGGAACGAATACTAATTGATTTACCTTTCATTCTGTGTTATCGCTATAAAACGTTTCTCCTGCCGACGTTCTATTCCGTAAGAAAATCTCACAATGAGCAAAAGATCGCCGCGAACAAAACGTTAGGTTGGCCAATAAATTCGCGCGGTTTTTTTGACGGTCGAAAGGGAAGACTCGTGACGTCGAGAACCGCGCGAATTTTTTGACCAATCTGATACAGTTTGGAATATTCATCTCGAAGATCGGACACGTTCTGAACGTCCAATTAAACTAGACGTAAAATTGGACGAGAAAATGTTTGAAACTTTGAATATCCCATGATCATCTGTTCGCAAGTATTTAAAAAAAAAAAGTAGGTGCAGTAAACGAGTTTATGGGACGACCTGACAGAAGGTTGGCATTGCCAATAAATGGCCACTGGAAAATTTGCTTGCGGCGTGGCCGCGCGGAGACACGGCGTCGAAGCGTATTTTCCGCGCGACAAAAGTCTTCCGGAGCCGCGGAGGGCATCAGAGGAGATTCTCTTCCATCCGCGTTTTCGCGAAGCATAATCTGGTGTCGGCGTCGCGTGGCGTCGAGCCGCGTCGCCCGGTTCCGCTCGGCGCGAGCGTGCTCGCGTATTTCCAGCCGGCTGAAGGCAGTAACTGGGACAGGTCTTTCCGTTCCGAGGGAAGTCTGATTAAAAAGCCGCGGCTGCTTCGTCGTTCTCCGCGGCGTGGCGCGGCGAGAAAATTTATTGCCGGCTCGTGGAGGACTTCAAAGCCGGTCGCGGCGGCGCCAAAGGAAAGTTTCCGCGGCGAGGGTCCACCGGGGGTGCACTGGGCACCGGGGGAAAAACGGCCGGCCCGGATGACACGGGGAAAATAAGTTCGATTCCCAGGGGGTGGCCGGCCAGGGGCCAAGGGATTTACGAGCGACGGACGACCACCGTCACAGAGAAGTCACCCTTAAATAATTCAGACGCGGCGAACGCCGCGGAACCTCGTTGTTCAACTCCGTCGACGACGCGACGATCGCTCAACGCTTAGACTTCGTCCTTTGCCCTCCGATCACCTAACAGCAACGGCTTTGTCGATCTCAAGGCGTCGGAAATGACGAGTTGTCCCGACTCGACGGCCGCTTTCACGAACGCGTGAATTTTACGGTTTCTTCCAACCCCTATTTTCTCCGAACGTTCGCAGTAAATTCATCTTAATCTTCTTGGTTCCCTGATTTTCCTAATTCTCCCTAATTTTCCTTGTAAACAAAAATGGACGATTTCTGAAGATGAGACAATCGTTGACCTCGTTTTTATAATCGTTGACCATCGGCAGCTATAAAAATGAGCGGCGAGGCTAGCAAATTATAGTTCATTCACTGTTCGAAAAATCTATTTCTCTATATATCAGCTCGGCTGTTCGCGATATTCCTGCGCTCGTTTTCGTCGCGAATGCATAAAATCCGCGGACGAATAGTAAATGTGCTCGCAATAGAACGCAACGCTGGGTCAAAGTTCGTTCAACTTAACACGGCCGATCTGTTACGGCGGTTTTACGACAAGCGATGACACACGATTCTCGCGCGTCGAGCAACAACCATAAGCGCGTGCGAACACGCGAAACGAAATCGTGAATGAAGAATAGCGCCGCGGGTTCGATTGGAAGTAAGCAACGTGGAGCGACATTCGGTGTGTTGTTGCACGGCCTGTACAATGATTCACGCGGGTAGATATTGAACTTGATCTTGGTGCTAGTAAAGCATCGATGTTCAGCTGGTGAGTGAACTCCCGGCCGGTCTAATGATAGAACGCACTGGACGCGTATAGGCGCTCTTGAACCTGATAGTAATAATAGAATTATGCGATAATAACCCGTAGAAAACACCATCGCGCGTCTGGCTGTGCATCTAAACGGCTCTCTCTCCTCTCTCTCTCGCGCGCGCCTCGGTCGGGGCCAAAGAGACGCCCGACACACGTCGCTGTTCACGCGTGCTTGGATAAAAAAAAAAAGGGAAAAGGGAGAGGAACGTCGAGGGGCCACGTAATTAACCGCACGAGCCAACGATCAAACGTTCAGATAACAAACAATTTTCTATTAGAGTGACTCATTGATTGCCGGCGGTCTAGGAGAACGCTGGCACATCTTTATTCCGGCTTTGATAATATACACGCGCATTTCCTCTGTCGTTGATTAGTCGCGATTCATTCAATCGTAAACTCCGATCTCGTGTGTGCTCTGCTCGAGTGCCAATTGAACGCTTCGCTTTCGTACGCGTGCGAATTAAATTACCGCGGTACCGGAAAAATTCGAATTTTCGCGTCTCGACATTTCTTTCTCCGGTAATCGTTATTAATAAAAATCTTGAAGATTTATTTTCGTAATATCCCGACACCGAAACATTCTATCGTCGAAAAATTTCATTCAAGTTTTCCGCCGGACGATGATGTATAATATAAATAATACAACGATTAGTTGATGGAACCTTTGGAAACCAGAATATTGCAAAAATAAATGCTCGGACAAAGGAGTCTCTGCCGTGCCGTGGGGATCGATAAATCATTGGAAGTCTTGAAAAACATGTTATTTAGTAAATGAAAGCGGAGTTATAAAATCGTCGATGTTACCAAGCCGATGTTTCATGCCGCGACGCTGTCATGTTGAACGTTGTCAACAAAATCGCAGACTGTTGATATTAATTAACCCGGAAACGCGAATGCTAGTCGCTTCGTTGATCCTGAATTTTCTCCGTAACGAAACGTTCGCAGCCAGAAACAAAGATTGAAGACATCGATTAACGACGGAACGCGATTAGCATTGGAACCTCGTGCGCCACGAATTTACAGCGAACGTTGTGTCGCTACGTAGAAATGATCTGTTACGTTCTCTAATTACTCGAAAGCGCATCCGCAACGTTCGCATCGCAAACACTTCGTTATGTCAATATCGGATGTTTCATGTTTTACTTCTCCCCTCCTCCTCTTCCGGCGATCATTATCGGTAAATAGTTAAATTCTGAAATACGAGAGAGTTCTGTATCCGATTAGAAAGGTTCCATCACGAAATGGAATCAATTAACCCGATCTCGCTAAGATAGAGCAACGAGCAAATTCGATTTGCGACAGGCGTTATCGTGATCGTGATCGAACTGGATCGAAATACGATAAATTCTCACTAATTCGCGCTCGGATTGCGCACAAAAATGGACAATTCGAGCGTCGAGGCTTGTTTTTATAATTACCGATTGTCAACAACTGTAAAAACGGGACGCGTGGTACGCTCGAACAATCGTATCTGCTCTTCCGAAATTGTCCATTCGTGTGCGCGATCCGAGCGCGCGAATTAGGGAGAAATCACTGTAAATCGAAAAAGAAATCCGCGCCGATGTTGCCTCGCAGCAGGCGTTTAATTTCCACGGTTCGTTCACATTCGATACACGTTTTTCGAATCGATATGTCGCTTTCCCCGGATCCTGTTCTCTGTACACAAGTGAGAAAAGCCAATTAGCCAGCGTTCGGTCAACGAACGCTGCCGGAGGAAAGCCGATTAGCAAACCGACAATCAATAATATGTTAACTAGACGCGCACCCCGCGCCATCGCGACGCGAACACCGAAGTTTCGCCATTTTCCTAACTGAACGGAGGATTTTTGTCGCGGTCGCGGCAACGGATTTGGTTCGCGATAATCGCGGCGTTTCGGAAAGCTTCCCCGTGCTTTCCAGTGATAACAGGAAGCATGGCCGCGCGCGATACGAGGTCCCGGAAGTCGCGCAAAAATTTGATTTCGAAAGTGGGTCAATTATCTCGGCTTCGACGAGACCGCTGTCGAAGATCTACCTCCGCGGAAGATGACGAAGCTCGACGACGATTTGCTCCGGAAGGAGTCATTTTCAAGAAGGAATCTAAACACCGAACGTCTCGTATGTTCATCCGAGAATCCCGCGAAACGGTGTTCGCGAGCCGGAAACAGTCCGCACGCGAATCCGATCGGAACTTCGCGTGTCATTGTTAAAAGAAACCCGAAGAAAGCGACCGTGAACAGGAAAGTCGGACTTTTCCGTAGCCGAACGCGTGTCGGTTGTCGCGACGAAACGTTAAAACAGCCTGCGAAGTGTTGATCGGATGCATGCTTGCCAAATCGCGTTCATCAAAAACGAAGGAATGCATGCTAATTAGTACGTCGCCTTTCTCGAACCAGAGAGCTGTACAATTTATATTCGAAATAGCTTCTTGACTAATGAAACGGCGCGGGGAACACGCCATACACTCTACACCCGTGAAAACTGTGTCAAATTCACAGAATTGTTAGAATAGAAACCGATCGAAAAGCAGCGATTTTAACTAGCAGTTCCGGCGTTAACAGTCGCATTTGTCGGTCTTGAAAAGTCTGTCGTCGTTTAGGATCGTTACCTAGAACAAAAATTCGTAGATTTATGAAAAAGATAAGTTCGCTCGATTCATTAATATCGTTAAAGACAGAACTTTCTGTCCTGCTGAGCCGTAACGAGGACAAAAAATGATTGCGCGAAGATTCTAGTCGCAGCACCTATCTGCTCGATAGGTCCAGTATCGATAAGCTGTACGATTGTATCGTCGACCGAGAATCGAGAACGTCATCGAGACGAGGAGGAATCCGACGAGGTTTTCGCGCAATTTCGCGAACGCGGCGCAGGTCGGCGCGCGTTAAAACCGCAACGAGATGATCGCAATTCGCGTTCGATTGGATCCCGCGGCCTCCGCTCCCGATCCGTCCGGAATGACGGCGTCGGATTACGTCGTCGGCCCGACCCGGCCCGTTCGTTAAACCAGATCGCGTAATTATTTAAAGGGGTCGTCGCGTTGTTCGGCGCTGGGAACGTCGTTGGACGAGGGGGGCAGAATGCAGCCGGGACGGGGGAGTCCCGGGCGTCGTCGAATGAATCCAAGGTGCGCGTGCAGCGATAACGATAATCCGATGTAAATCGGGCAGACACGACGGTCCTGTAAACCGCCGTTGTATCTGGCCTCGTACAGAGTTTACACGACGATTCTACTCACGCAACACGGTCAGCTGTCCACCGATACCGCACACGTTCGCCTATTTACCCTGCAACGCGCCGGTCGGCCAGCGCGAATCCCGTCGTCGCTCCGACGGAATTGTTTAAACGACATTATAAACGCGCGATTCCGAATCACGCGCGGTTTCCCTCGGATTTTTTCCGCTTATCTTTCCGACCGAATACGACGGACCTGCGGTTTCGATCGTGGGAACGGCGACCGCCTCGCTTCTGGCTGGATAATGGGCGAACGTCTGAGAAAAACGTGGAAAAAATGCCGTCGAAACGAGTAACAACAGCTTGGACGGAAATAGAGACAGATTAAACGAACACGAATAATTGTTGTAGCTGTAAAAATAGAAACATCGTCGTTTCTCGTCGTAGAAGCGAACAATTTTTTGTTCTTTCCCGGTATTTTTCTTCGATTTTAGCGACGGAAAGGCATATCGTTGCAGCATCGCTCGGCGTGTCCCCTTACGTTCTGATGTTCGATTTTGATATCTTGTCGCATCGACGGTATTCTAAATAAATATCGAGCATACGTTGTCCCGCGAAAGTGTTCGTACACCTTCTAAAGTGTAATAACTTTGTTGGAACTCGATCAAATGACTAGCGAAGCTAAACAAAAATTCAGGTCGCTCGGTCCAGTTTCAAAATAGTCCTTAAAAAATGTACGAACACTATCGCGGCCCACTGTACGCGCACGTTTCTTAATGCAACGAACAGCTGTCGAATCGCCTAGCTCGCAGATGCTTCGAAAGTTGCACATTGTCGATTCCAGTCTTACGGCACCTTAGAAAGCGTCGTGAATCCGTTTCCATATCGGCAACGTAATTGTACAATCAATTAGGTTTCGTTATAGCGTCGGCGAACTGGTTACAAGGCTTTAAAATATTCTCGTTTACAGGCAAGAAGTTCCGATACCGAGGAACGCGACGGAATTTCCGACCGTTATGCGATAAGCTCGTTAAGTTGTCCATCGAAAAACCGGCTAAGAAATCCTCCACCTACGCGGCGTTGATTGCACGACGTTTATCGATGGAATGCAAGCACCGTTGAGAATGCAAGGTACACCAGTTCGTCGTGTCCAATATTTCTTTCGATTTCCCTCTTCGTACTTTCACCGTTCGCGGTGGTGCTCTCGGCGACGGGGACGAGCCGCTCGCGAATACGCGAACAAGTTATCGTAAAACGTCGAAAAGCGACGCCAGCGACGCATTTTATAAAACATTAAATCCAGAGATTTCGCTGGGATTCGAAGAAACGCTTTTTAAGATTCGAAGATTCGCTGTATTATTATTATATATTATTATTATATATATATAATCCCA